CCTCGCGTTTGCTCAACAAAAATACGAAGAATTACTTGATCAATGCCGAGGTTAATAGAAAGTCGGTCGTGGGAGTTCCTATATACATATTTAAACTTACCAGAGCGATAGCGCTCATAACCTCGCTTCAAATCAGCGTATATCATATCTCGAATAGGATGCATTTCATCCAGCAACGGATCGTAGTCATGCTTCCCAGATTTAAGTCTTAAAATAAACAAAGCATAAAGTCAGTGCAAAGACATTGTTGAACGACCTAATAAAGAGACGTCCAACATTGGCTTTCTATCTATAGAGCATCTATGTGAACTTGGTTCTGATAATAACTTATATACGTCGACTCTCATACTTTAAACCTTCTTATACTATATTAATAATGCTTAGTTTAAGTTGAGATATTTCATTTCAAATTGAGAGTTAAATTATCATATTAATCGTATACGACTTGTTGGAAATATATTCGGAACCGCATTTTTAAAAAATCATTCATGATTTCCTTAATATTTAATACCTGAGAACAAGGTCCTCTAAGTCTGTCACTGGTCGTCCTCTTTGTGTGTGTGTGTTCAACTGATAAATGAAATGGCTACGCTGTCTATAACGAATCATGGTGTCCATATGAAGTTCCAGGAAGAGACGCTAAAACAGTCTGACGATGAAGGCTTTGTAGATTTCAAGTTACAGACCTATGACATAAAGAAATCTATGATTTAGGACCGGAATTTACTCAAATTTAACCAATAAGTTCCTGCTTCGTCGCATCTTGCTTTCCCTAATGTAATCATCATCGTATTCCAGGTGATCATGAACCATTTGCTACCATCGGAAAGATCAACAAAGTCAAGCAAACGCTAAAACGGCATGGATTTTCAGCACGAAATTTCTAAACGTACTTTATTTCCTTTCCTACCCGCGTTGTGTTATGTATGAGTACTTGATGTCCAGGTGCAGGAAGATGACGTGCATAACGTGGAAGTCGTTCACCGCGATAAAGCCAACGACCGGACTCAGGATGAATGAAACGACGTTCCCTGTTAGAAGATTAATGATTTTGAAAGGTGAAAAATGCACCAGATTAACTAGCAAAAAATCCGAAGAACATACTCGACAGGATCATCCCATGTCTGCCCTGCGGATTTCAGCGAATCACAGAATATTGTGAGATCCATACGAAGTTTTGACCTCAGTTCTATCGCCTGATCCCTAGAATAGGATAATTCGACTTTTAAAGCCATAACATCCCAAGAAGCAACAGCGATCATAAGCTATTTTATGTGCAGTTCTGAATGTTAAGATAAGTTAAGATCTAACGTACTTCCCGATTGAAGCTGTTGGAACTCATCTACGTAAAAAAAATCTTGATAAGCCTATCGACTTCTTAATAGTAGCTAATAAACAGCCACTATTTAAGATGACGTTTAGGAAGTGAAATACGATACAAAGCCTCTCTTTACCTCTACTTCACCTAATTATGATGGTAATCTCTGTTAGAAAACTATGTTTTAACAACATGATGATTAAACAATTTAACCTATAACTCCAAAAATCTTTCACATCTCCAATGATAGTGGATAGACCATTATAGTGACAATGCGCATGTCTTAGTTCACGCAAGGAATGCTTCTATCTATTCTCCGAATATGAAATGACCAAACTATGCCAGGTTAAACTAACATACCAAAAAAAAAGTCGAAAAAATGGCCGAAATGGTATACGTTTTCAAAAACCGCATTTACAGGTAAAAACATATGACAGTGACAAAAACAGTATACTGTTTTCTCGCCATAGTCGTTAAAAAATGCTTTAGAAGCAATGTTTAGTACGCGCCACGGGCTCATCAAAGTGTTACTAGAGTAGTCTGCGAGTATAAAAACACTGACTTGATAGATCAGTGGCCCACGAATGTCACAGTACAGGCACAATACGTATTCAATCATCTCTATAATGCTTAGTGAAGTGGAATGGATGGCGTTTCTCTAAATGATAAATCAAACGCATTGTATATACATATAAAAGGGATATCAAACGCAAAGGGCGCGTGTGGCGAAGTGGTCGGAGGCGTTCTTCAACACACACACACGTGGGACGGATCCCCCACCCATGGCCTACCAAGTCTTCCATTCCTCCGGAGTCGGCAAATTGGTACCAGACTTGTCTAGGAGGATAGCAGCAGTGCCTCGATACATCGGTGCGCCACCGCAAGTCATTTTAAAGGCCAGATATGCATTCAATCACCTCCAATGATGCTTAATGAAGTCGAATGCATAGTGCATTTCTCAGAGATTGATCAACGCCGAAATTTTTATCCTTCTTTACCTGGCGCAATCTCATTTGGACGGTGGTCGGTTAAATAACTAAACGATTTCATGCATTATACCTTCCCCAACATGTGTGTTTAACCACGAGTTGTTTCTATTTTTTTTTTCGCCGTATTTACATAATTATCTCTTCTACACATAAATCCTCATGGGGATGTCTGCTTATATCCCGACTGCATACTAGATATCGATTTGACCAAAATCCTATAATCAAGTGATTTGCAAGACCACGGGACACGGTTTTGAGGCAGATCAAACAACTAAGCTTTTCTTACAAACTGAGAAAATAGAGAAAGCTACCCATAGGTATATATTATACATCCCTAAAGGATAACTGAACAAACTACTCCTATCTATCCTCTCACCAAAAATAGTTAAAGGAAGTCTCTTACATGAGAAACCTTGACATATTTCGCGCCATCTGACTGACCACAACCCAGTGGACATAAAAACCTAGCCAATTCTAAATTTCTAAATACATATTATTCAGCTCAATCGTTTCTATAAGTATACACAAACACCAGTACGTCAGCTTCCACGTTCGAATATTCGCGTGTATTTGCACTCTCAAAATCAAATTGAGTAGACAACTGATGAGTTACGAACACAGTTTAAATCCACAAGGAAAAGGATAGCTTACCGTGTCCAGATATAGAAGGGATCCACCACTTTTATCCAGTTGTTTCTCGTACCCGACACTTCATCTACGTCGTCAAAATCAGGATTGAGAAAGACGTCAATATGAAGACGATGCCAGTTCTCATCTACCCGAGGATCCTGAACGACCAACAATTGCAAGACATAGACAAACGCTTAGATGGTAGTAACAGCTGAGGAATTTCCGTCTTCTAAGATTTTCACATATGTGTTTCAAAAACAGGTGTTTTCGTGTCTTTGACGGCGTACTATCTCCAGGTAAGATTACCCAAACCTAAAATAAATTCGGTACTCATTTCCGACGAGAAGCTCACTTAAAACTAAGCCCACTCCAGGAAACGTAACAATCCAGGAAGAAACCTATTGCCAAAGTGGTGTACTCCCTCGTATTCACAAGGGTAGCCTAATAGCTGTGAAATTTTCTTTATACGACCCGTCTTCACGTTTACTGAGCATATCTAGCACTTCCCACATTCCATTCGTTTCCTCACATAGACCATCCACTAAGGTCTTGGAATTCTATGTGTTGCTTCAACTGCTGCTTGAGGACTTTTATTTCATCTCGAATATCGTAAAACGTGCTCTGAGTCGACTCTCCCTGGACTTCTGAGATAGCAAGACTAAAGTTTTCCCAATTAGATTGCAGAAAGTGCTTTTTTCCTCGGAAAAGTTCTGTACCAATTTCCAGGGCCGGAGTGATGAGATTTGATGAACCCGGAGGGGAATCGAAATAGCACCGTGATCGTGATGACCAACATCACTATCTTTGTGCTACCACCTCTCTCCTATTACCTGTGAAACTACAAACTACCACTGAATACTTTTTAGATTTCTCGAGGCTTAAGAGAGAAGACTTTATCATACCAGAAAGACGCCGATTACATAATCTAGGGTTCACACGATTCCTTGCGAACACGGTCCATTAAGGGATAGTCCGATTAAATGAACACAACTGTGTAGCTTCGACGAATTTCAGAAGAAAAAACTACCAGAAAAAATAACACAAATAAAAAAAGCCTACGATGCAAAAGTTAAGTTGAAATGTGAGGCGGGGATATGAGAGATGATAATGCAACATCAGCGCATACATGTTGTTGAAGCATCTGAAAACTGAAAATTTAAGAGAAAAAACGAATGTTAGATCTAATCAATATGCTAGAGAGAAGTATTTATATCTGTGATTTGTCTGTAAACTTACTAAAGTGCGGACAGTTCGCAGAACTACAAAGCGTTATGTTATAGCGATTGCTAAACAATAAAAAACAAGGCAAAAAAGTTGTTTGAGTTCATGAAGGTACGCTGTGCATCGGTGTTCCACTTCAATCACAAATGCGACTGCACATGTGTTACCACGACGATTCGTTTTCCTCAGAAGAAGAAATTAAAGTTTTAGCACTCACCGGCGTTGATCAATCCCTGAGAGAAGCACCATGAATTCGGCTTCATTAAGCATCGTTGGAAGTGATTAAATGTACATCTGGCCTTTACAATTACTCGCGGTGGCCTACCGATGTATCGAGCCAGTGCTGTTATCCTACCAAACAAGTCTGGTACCAATTTCCCGACCCGTATAGATGGAAGGTTTGATGAGCCGCGGAAGCGGAGATCGATCCCACGTGTGTATTGCAGGATACCACCGACTACTGCACCACGAGCGCCGCTATGTTCAAGACATATGGGATATCATACATGCCACGAACGTATAAAACCACTTCGGCGAGAGCGATGCTTCATTGCAGTATGTCACCGAGTCACCGAATCACTAGCAACATGACGTACTTTGAGAAATTTGCAGCAAATCACCAAGAAGTTCATAACCAAACAAGTAAAACGTAAACTAATCAGATTACTAGAATTTCACGGATATCATTCAAATAAGCGATCATGTAGACTGCATAACATCCTCCATGAACGGATAGAAATAACTAGGATGCGCTGTCCCATTTATGCTTATACGAATTATAACCTCGCACCGATTTGACCAAAAACCTACAACTAACAGCCCACAACTAGAAGACAGGGCATGGAAGGAGATTCGGAGATGTATGCAACAAATAAGTCTATGGAACTACAATGCTATCAAACAACATGTCGGCAAGCTACTCGTGGGAATCACTCACCAAAAGCACCCTTGGAAAAAAAGTGAATAATTTGTGCACTTGAAATAGTCCGCAATGCTCTCCAAACACAGCCAATGCATGCGCGACGGCGATGTAGGTCATCAACGAGTTCTACGTTAATCCATTTGTCAGCCATGTACGTCTGCTCCTCATACCATGGGATTCAGCATAGGCGTTTATGGATTACAGAATAGGGTCGCCATTAGTGAGCATGTCAACATACTCTGCGAGAAATACAGCAATTTCACAGTCAGAACTTTGCTATTACACAACAACTACAACAACAACAACAACAACCATGTCAGTGTAATGAATGGGGTTCAAAAAGGCGATACTATTTCGCCAAAATTTCCGTAGTCAACCTCGATAACGTAATGCAGAAGTTGTAATGGGACAGCATGGACCAATGCTCGGCAATTACCTTATCGTTGCTTTGCTGATAATATCGTTTCCATAACACCAAGGATCAGCCAGGGTGATGACCAAATTTGAGGGTGTTTGTGGATAGACTGGTATACGACTGGATCTCACGAATATGATGTCCATGAGGAACGGATTTTTTGTCATGTCCATTGACGATCAACGGAATGAGTAACTCCTAGTTCTCCAGTTAGAAAAACTACCGAATATATCAGAATATCAGCTGAGAGATTAATATAATGACTAACTTAATCCAGAGCTGAGCAAAACGAGATGAGCGAGATGTGGAACACGAAGAAGAGAGAAGATATAAATAGGATAAGAATTACGCGGTTCCGTGGCCACGTCTTCGACTATGATATTTTCCATACCTCCAGACATTCTCCATGTTTCAGGAAGTTAAAGGCTATGTAAATATGGTAAAATATTAAACAGCGGTATCAAACAACGCTATACTAGAAGTATATCTACCACGAAAATGAGAAAGCGAACCAAAATCTATTAAGAACCCAACAATAAGAGACATTTACACGAGAGACATGTATGAACTCAACTGGACCAGTCAGATAAAGCAACTTATCCACAATCGCCACACACAAACCTCTAGATATTCTTTTTTAGGATTCTACACAAGCAACGACACGTGACACCGTAGTGTTACAAGTATCAAAATGTAGTAATCCAAAATGAAAATTAAAAACTCAACTTCCACAGATGATACATCTGTCAGTTTGATGCTGGTCCACCACCGTCAACCAGCCCATTTTCTGAACCTCCGTTAAACTTGCAAAGCTTGAATTCTGCAAACACTACAGCTAACGCGATGAAGAATAGAACGTTTTCTAAATTCGATTCCAAACACCACTGAGATTATTCTTAACCTTTTTATTTACTGCCTATTCTTTTCAATGGCAGGGTATGTTGCGAAATATAGCTTCTATAACACTGAGATAATTGCAAAACTCCGCTGAGATTGTTGAATGCATATTTGGCAGATACAGTGATTTTCAGAGCCCATGGATCTCTTATACCAGTATTTTTGTCCCTCGAGACATGCCCTGCAACAGCTCGCCAACCCTGGAGCGTTTGGGAGGTTGCTCTAGAACGGCTTCATGATGAAGCCAACGGCTAAGTGTGTATTACAGGGCACCCCTAATCATGACGCTAAACGTACGCGTATTACGCGTAAAAGGAGATAGATCCTAGTTAGTTGATTAAAATGGGATTACTCTTGGTATCGGTTTTCCTTTGAAAACTGCGGCTGGTTCATCATCAGCATCACAAGGAGCCATTCCAGAAGAAATGCGATATCTGGAAAGAATAGGAATTAGAAGGGAGCCGTGGAATCACTAAAAGCTGAAAGAACACATACGTTATAAGTGAAGGAATCTCCAATCGTAACCAGTTTTGGATAATGATGAGATGCATTCTACTCATACTTTTCAATGGGCGGAAAACTAAACATGAAACTGTAGGTGAAAGAAAGTCACAAAGAATACTAATGGCTGCGCACAGTTCAGGAATTAATGAGAAAAACTGCGCACTTGCTTCAATTGTCCGAATGTGATTAACATATTTGCCATCGTCTCCAGGACGAAAAACTCCCAGATATGGATCGACAGTTCGCTTAAGTTCGACTTGCTGAGGAATAGCATCCTCCAACTCTAAAGAAACGAGACAAAAAGCGAATAAATCATCTACGTGGCACAATGGATAGTCAAAAAAGTTGAAATTTATACAAACCCGAATAAGCTGACAATTCGTCGTCACCATCGACTCCATCAGATGACCTTGCGCTGTAAAAACATGGAGTGAACTCTATTTCTACACAACTTATTACGGAAAAAAGTCTCAACTTACGTCCTCTCAGAAAGAATGGAGTCAGACTCGTCATCATATATGGGACCACAGACAACTCTCATTTGTAAAAACGGATTTGTGTGAAGACGCTGCAATTCATTGCTCCATAAAATGAATAGTTTCGATGATGGAAAAGAAATAGATCCTACCTTGGTCCAATATTCGAGTTCTGATATAATCATTGGAGAAGAGATATCGCTGTTCAATCTCTCTTGTTCGCTAGAAAAAACAATTCAAATAGTCGCAGTTACTATCGAACAACTAAACATCTGTTATGGAAAGAAGAAATTAAACAAACATTAATGTCACATTGTTTTCTCCAACGATGAAACCACCATTCCACGAGGTATCTCTTCTATAAAGACATCTGGCTCCAAAAAGGATATGCTGGAAAGAACACTTTTGTGAGTTACTTTGCAGAAAAGTAAGGATTGTTAAGAAGATAAAACCTCGAAAGCAACTGTATCATCCTGGTTAACAGTGTCGGTACGTACAACACGATTGGGCAAATGGCGAAGAGCATGACCTGAAATGAGGAATCGAGAAAACTACAACTGTTCTCTAAGAGCCGAAACAACATTTAATGTTCGAATCTCGTGTTGACATGGGATCAGAAAACAAGTACATTTATTATCGCTACAGCATAGTTGCATAGTTAAGGTAGAAATAGCTAAATGCATACTTGCAAAATCTTACCATCAACCTGAATACCCTTCAAGTTATTGGTCACGTCTACCCTCACTAGAACGTAAACTCGAAGATCGGAATCTCCAGAAATTGTAGGCACGTCTATGGAAACTGGTTGCAGCGGAAAATTAACACAAACAGTGAACGTAGCTGAGGGAAGACGCTCCTTTAACAAATATATGTTATATAAGTATAAATATATAAATCTGAAGTTTTCCAGTTGCTGAGATGTGGAAAAGAAAGCAGTGTGAATGTACCGCACGACCAAACTCCTCTCCTTTTTGTTGAACGGTATAAACTTGTACTTTTGCAAGCCGTTCTCCTTCAAGCAGATTGTGACAAACCATTCTATAAGAAAATCTTGAAGCGATCTTAGTCAAGAATGATAAGCTTCACAATGACTAACCTGAAAGACAGCGTAGCAGTATCTTCAAGTACAGATGACCTACATACATTACGATCGGGATTACTAGTGCCATTCAAGAACTCAGTGTGGTTTTTAACAACAGAGGGTACTGCCTGTAAGATTGTGGTAGTGAAGGAAAATACGAAATGAGCTTCTGCACGAGAGCTAGGTAACTACCATGCCACGAGCTCTGAGGAATTTTCGATAGGCCAGGCTGCGGTATAGAACTTGCACATCCTTAGTCCTTTTGAATGCTGCAAGTGTTTTGATTGAGAACCGGAAACTTCGACTATCTTCACAACGCTGGATCTGAATACAGACAACATTTTGGCGTACAAATATAAAAAATGCCATCGAAAAATCACCAACTTCTTCCTCTACCGAGGCTCTTGATACGAGCGCTTCTATTAACTCAGAAAGATGTCTCTGTCGTTCCTCTACATCTTTGTGAACTGCTTGAACTGGTCCCCAAGGCCACACCAAAGGTGGCTCGCGTTCCCCAAACGTGTACGAAGGAGTTGGCTGTAACACGATATATTAACCTGTATAATGTTAGGCTGAAGTGGATTAGGAAACGCACCCTGTCAGCAAATGCCATGCGATATAAGAGGTTCCTACGAAGATATGGTTGAAACACGGGACGTGTGCCAGCATCCAGCGTCGACATGGCTTTATATGTTCGAAGAGATGCTGAAATGAAGTACAGTAGAGGAAAGCGCCCTACCTCTTAATAACCAAACCAAAACAGCCTAATTTAACTCACATAACATCCTATCACGAAAATCAGCCGATGTCATTCCATTCAGAGCTCGCGCTGTGAGCTCCCTCTGTAAAGAAAAGTTGATATTACAGTTCCAGAAACAATAAATAGTAGCAGACTTACAAGGTGCTCCTGCGAATCCTGAGGCTGACCGTTTTCGTCGGCGCCTTCATCCGGTTTCGATATGCTTCTAAAGAATACTCCAGATATGCTAAAAACAGTAAGATTTCCATCAGCTAACTTATTATTGTATAAGCGAACACCTGGATTTTGTCGGCGTAGTTTCCTTTGACGCCTTGCCTCTGTTCTAAAACGATACATGTCTTTAATGAGAAATTCGGGAAACTGAACAACTTACTATTCTCATCACATTCGCAAGAAAAACACGCCCGATCGTCGGGCGACCGTTTCTCTTCGCAACCGCTTTTGTTCTTAGAACGCTTAGCAATGGAAATGTCTTTGGTTATCTCCATAAATCTGCCTCAGCAAAGTAGAGAGCACAATTTTTGCGTCATCTATTTCAGACACATATTAAATACCCTGAAGTGATAATCCGCGCCAAAGAGCAGAACTAGAGGAAAATGAGGTCATTCCTGGTCGATTGCAAGAGCTCTTTTCATAGCCGATATTAGCAAACACGAAGAGATCAAATAAGTATATCACTTACTAATCTTGATAGATGAGGGATGGGCACCAGCTTACAAGCGGACGCAGGACGTACATCTTCGTCTCCAACTCCATACACGTCTTTCGTTCTTCTCGAACTTGGTTGCGACTGATGTTCAGTCTCTCCAACAGGCCTCTGACCAATCACCACCGACTTTGCCTTAGCTTTACCCTTCCCTTTGTTTGGTTTCTTTCGACCCATGAATAAGCAAGTTTTCTAAAAGAAAGCACATACACGTTATGGAGGCTGGGGACGAACCAAACATTGCTAACTATGCGGAGATTTTAGACAAAATACTTTGATTATAATCACAGCAAACAACGTCCGTGGTTAAATAATGGTTGCTTGGTGAATGAACACAGACCGATTGACCAGAGTTACATGAAATGTTAGAAAGACGACAAAAAACCAAGACCGACACTATAAATACCTTTACATCAGGCGATTTATATCATAGGTACAGAGCACAACGATTTTTGGAGAGAACTTGAGTAACAAAAGCAAATGCAAATAACATATCGAGACTTGTAAGTGCTTCAATGGATCCAAAGAAGAATCGCGGACGGCTGTAATATCGGCACCCGCCGGCACATCCGAATGAGTCGACGGCCGGCCACAGCGCGCCATCCGTGTATCGATCGGCAGTCCGGTCATGCCGTGCGCTCTGCATCTGACCACTTGCCTAAGGGGACCGTGTGCATCCACGAAATAGATATCGATCTTTTTGCCACGTTCTCTGCCCTCTGTAGTTGACAGCTTTTTTAGAACCTGGCTCCAGCATGCTCAATGTGCCAATATGGGGTCGTACTGGTTAACAAGAATTGAAGGTTTTCTTGTTTTCCTGAACACTTTCGTCTCTTTTTGCTGTACAACCTTAAGTGGACGAACTAGGTAAGAATTAAATTAGGATTTATGTTGATGTTGAGAATATCGTACAAGAATCAGCGTAACACATGAATCTAAATGCGTTAGAAAGAAGCATAAAACCCTCGGCGTTAATCTGTCTCGGAGGGATGAAGGGCTTGGTGGACCATGGGCGCGGGGATCGGTTCCATGTGTGCGTCTCAGTGGCGCCTCCAACCACTGCGCCACACTAACATATGAACACGAAAAGAAAATACAAAATGGTGGATACCGAGTCGTGTTTAGTATCACGCAAAGGATATGGAAGGCAATGACTTTCTCGTGCGGGTAGACTAGTATTATTCGCTGTTTTTCTTCAATGGACAAACACGATGTTTGTATTTGGTATTGCAGATCTTATGCCAGTTTGAACTTTCCAGACTGAAGAAGGCGAAACTACCGAAGCGTCAACTATTGCATGCTAATAAATTTTTTAATACCAATTTGCTTATCGCAGAAAGGCAGTTGATTATCAATCAATGTCAAGGTTAATAGGGAGTCGGTCATGGGAATTGCTACATGAATAGTGGTATTAATTTCGCTGCAAGCGTCATCGTCATCTGAAGTCGAGCCGAAAACAACTACTTTGGGTGTATATTGCTTAAATTGATTTCTAGTCCTATGGGATTGTGACCCCAAACTTGGATAGTTAACATATTGTTGCTTATATAAATAGAATGCTCAACAAATCGAGCCTATTCCATGGGATATAGCAATAGGAGGGAGATGGGGATAGTGGGAATAGTGCATAGGTGAATAGAGTGACGCTAATTTTGCTTGAGATTGGAATAAATAAACATAAGGCGCTGTGGCATGCCAACTTTCCATGATTGGAGCGCATAGCTACGTCTTGATATCGGGAAAGAGAGAAGACTTGGTTACGTAGTGCACTTACTGTCAAATCGTGTGCATGAAACAATGTATGACTAGTATGATAAATGTGCAGCAATCTAAATTTCTCCTAACGGTTTACTGCCTCATGGTGGCTGCGAGGTGTTCTTTGATGTCACGCTACGATGCGCAGCTGGGTGATCATTGTCCCAGATTATCCTCCAAAATTGAAAAAGAATCGGACGCTTCTATTCTGAAGCCAAGCTAAGCGTAAACAAATACTAGGAAACCTCACCGTCCTGGTATCAAACTAGTCGCTTGGTGGCCAACCCCCTCTGATCCGCAAGGGCGACGACTGCCTGGGGTGGTAGCGACCTGAAGAAGGCTTCGGCTATGCTGACCTTTGGTGTCCAAGGGACCACAATAACTAGACCAGCAAATCTTTGGAAAACGGGGATTGTGCTGGGGCCGGCGCAACCAATGAAGACGGGCCATCCGAGTAATCAAGTAGTATAATAAGTGTGCAAGTCATTTTAAAATTAGTACAAGTGTATTTACAAAAGTGGAGTTTCTTTAATATCAGTATGTAAGAGTTATCAATGCCTTAGCCTGTGGCAGCAGAACGACTAGAATCGATGTGCTTTTCAATAACTGTAACTTCAGTTAGGATAAAGGTATTTAACAATCTGTTACATCCTGTAATGACCTACGTCCTTATTTTTCACTGATGGATGAACCCCTTTGTTCAACTGGGATCTGCGTTGCAAGAAGAGAAAGTTCATTATTATAACAGAGTTACCCAAGGTGTAAATGGTTTCAACATTTTTACTCAGAAGCCTAAATAAGAGTGCACCTATGTCTAAGCAGAGTTAGGAGAGCCACACGTAGCTTTTTCTTTCCAACAACGATCAAGATGGAGGGTCTGATACGAGAAGTGTGGTGTGCTTCGAGTAAACGGAGTCGCCCGAATGGTATACCACAAAACAATGAAGATTCTATTGGTGCCCTCGCGAGTTACTCGATTATTACCGAGATCTTAGATGATAACGGACAAGAGCAAATTGCTTGGTCATTAGAAATCAAAACATTAATGTGTTCAATATTGCCCAAAGGACCCTATTAATCTCGGCTTTATAAATAAGTTGCCTTGTCCAGCGGACACGATATTGCTTACATACAAGCTATCCAACAGTGGCTAATCTTCTGGTTGTTTACCTTCGTTAGAGCATGAAAAGCTCAAATTCGTTCGCAATCTACTAGACCGAACACTTTTGTGACTTAATGAAAAGACTCCCTGACTCCCGTCCTGTACTTACTTATCGAAACTCATAAGTTAGTATCCAGCGATGATCTCGTGTCTACCGATCCATCGTTATTTAAGGTTAGACCTATCATTAGCTGCGTAAACGGGCCAACAGATAGGATAACGTGGTTAATAACCCTAATACTTACTCAGTTGTTGAAGTACATTCCAGCTCATCTAACGAACACCCAAATGTTCCTGGATCGTCTACGTAACGCGCGACCCAACAGCCCGTACGTGGTGGAGTCCTTCGACGTCACTGCCCTGTATACGAACGTGTCGAATGACTCCGCTATGCAAGCCATAAACGAGCTCCTTATACAACACGAAGAAGCAATAAACATGTACGGCTTCTCGAATCAGCAGTTGATGACACTCTTAAAGGAGTGCCTGAACTGCTCAATCTTCAGATGGTCCGGGAGGTATTACGCACAAATGAGAGGGATGGCAATGGGACAACGACTGGCTCCAAGCCTTGCCATTGCAATCATGTCTAAGGTGGAAGCGCCAGTAATCGACCTCGGTCCGTTACTCTACTGTAGATATATAGATGACTGCTTGGTCATTTGCTCAACTCAAGAAGAAATCGACAGATGTTTCGAGTTGTTGAACACACAGTCAGAGTATATTAAATTCACCTGAGAGAAACCAAAAGAAGACTGGCTTCCATTTCTGAACGAACAAATAAACCTATCAGAAAACGGCTACATTATGAAATGGTATCGAAAGCCAAGTAGTAATAGCATCTTGGTTCATTACCTTTCCTCTCATCCCTCTCACACGAAAAGGGCGCTTGTGAGAAACATGTATCGAACAGCTACCAGCGTGTGCACAGGAAGACAACAGAGAGATGAGTCCCGGAACTTGGCGCGGCAAATAGCCATTTTTAATGGCTACGAAACCGTAGCTCAAGATAGGTGTAGAGGAAGCCACAGGTACCCCAACGATAACTCTAGCGACAACAAGGTCCCGTTTATACTGCCCTTCATTTCAAATGAAGTAAGTGCAGCTATAAAACGCTGTTTAAGAAGGGCCAGTCTAGAGAATTCGGTAACGATAATCGAAATACCACCGAGTAATCTAAGGCGCCAGCTAGTTCGTAACCGCCTATACGACCGTCTATGTGCAACGCAAAATTGCATAATTTGTCCCAATGGTAGAGACGGTGACTGCATGAGTTCGTGTACAGTCTATCTGATCTCTTCTAAAGCGTGCGGGGACGAATACGTTGGCGAAACAGGTAGACCACTTTGCGTACGTATAAAAGAACACCTAGTCGGCAAACGTAAGCCAAGTACTCCACTAGGTACGCATAGCACGCAGAAACATAACGGAGAAGATTTTGAAGTAAGGGTTACGATCCTCGCGCAAGAATCGAGAACACAAGCGCGCAAAACTCTAGAGGCATTCTGGATTAATTCCAAGAATCCGAAAATGAACCGCAGGGAGGAATGCCTCGTTATCACTCGTGATATTGGACAGTATATAAACCTATTATTCTGATGGGAGGAGCACATTACGCTTCCATGTGAATTTGGTGCGGTCGGTCTTCACCCGACATACTCAGTGGAAGACTCAGAGAAAGCAGTGAGTGTGCAGAGCTATGATAAATGTGATTGAAATCTTGGTTTAGCGTTTTCTCTGCTTGGTTATGGAGGTGTTTGGCCGAGTGGATTGCTGTCAAGTTGACCCTTCCAAGCTCTGAGGAAGGCGAAATCCGCCGAAACGTCAGCTTGTGCGCAAATAAAGAAATAAAATAGCACCTCGTGCTTGCTGAACAGAAGTAGAAAGATACATTCAATCAATGCCGAGGTTAATAGAAAGTCGGACTTGGGAGTTATTAAAAAGAATCTACCACTTAAATTTCAATCTAATAGGAAGGCGTGGAGAGCAGCTTCTTCAAACACTCTTCGTTTTATTCTTTATAAACCTTCAAGTTGTCATTAGAGATAGGTAGCAAAGAATCTTCCATGGGTGAGGAATGTGAACAACCCATATAGGAACTATTCTTCAAATAGTTCCCATTTGCTACACTAGTGTATGTTTCCTGTTCACTTGTAACTATCTTAATCATCACATGCCCCAATTCGATCAAGAAAAGAGTCGTTTTTGTTGCGCAGAATAAGAGCAGACGATACTACAAAACAGCGATCCTCTTGATTATCGTTTACATCGTGCGGCACCCACATGTCGAGCTTTTTCGTCCTTATGCGATTCAAGTGAATGGAAATTGTCCTTATGCTTACCCTAGTTATTCTGCAAACTCTTGAACAGTTGTTGGCGTGTTTGCTTCCACTGGTGCCCTCAATTCGTCGTCGTCAAGTTCATTGGAACGTCGGCGATCTTCCTTATCTTCAAGGTCGAACTCACCAAATAGGAACTTCCGGAACCATGCTCGCACTGTTGATGCACCAAAACTACGTTCGCTCCAAACTTCATTAATGTCTCGAGCCATTTCTGCTGCACTACGACCGAGTTTGAACTGATGATAGAAAATTAGACGAGAATTAGTTTTGACATCTAAAATTACAAAGCTCCAAATTGGTAAAAATATCAACAACCTAATGTTTTTGGCGAACTGGTATCGCTTGTCCCAGGAATCCTCTTCTACTGAGTAGTGAACACCCGACTACTCAGAGCTTCTATAAGCGCTTCTATCTCAAATGCGTTGAAAGCCTTCTTTAATCGAAATTGAAAGAGAGCAGTTTTTTCTATTCCCAGGATACTTTGATGAGTCTTGCTATCGTGTTGATATGATCCATTGTACCGAATCCTTTTTGAAATGTTCTGTAAAATCAGCAGATCATAACTCTAGTGAAGAGTTTATAGGCAAAAGAGAGTAGACTGATTGCGTTATTATTACCGATGTCGTGAAGTTATCTCTTTTTGAACATTAACGCAGTCTTGATGGTTTTCCGTTGGATGCTAACATTGCATTCTGACAGATAACGTAGGAAAGCGGAGCCGCTGTATTGGTGAAGGATTGTGGAATGTTCTTCATGTGTTTGGGTCTTAACCTATCGAAACCAGGAACCGTTTGATTATTCACCGACGAAGTAACATATAGGAATTCCGAAAGGAAAATGGGTCGAGCCACATATTTATCATCTTTAATTTTATGTGTAGGCGGCAGGAGGTAATGTTAAAAAGATCAGAGAAGCATTAGTGGACAATTTCCTCTATTATCTTCCAGAGTTCTGCACTGGCGTCAGATTGCAATCATCGCGGTCGGTCTTGTACTAATTAGAGAAGTATAATAATTAGAGAAGTTTTGGCGGGCTTTGCACATGCTCTTCCCGGCCTCTAGGGCTTCAGCTATTACTGCTGCTATTCTCTTCTTTAAAACTTCTTTTATCGCCTTCCTGCTGGACTTTACGAGTTTGGACTTCAGATGACGATGGCGTGCGACTACGGCTGACTACGGCCCGTGCGATTCAACGTTAGCATGTTACCACGGATGTCTCTGAAAACCGGCGCATTTTTGTGACCTATGAACTCTCGCACTCCATAACACTTGCTTGAAAATGTTGAAAAAGCTGCTCATATTCTCTATAAATGTTGTAGACAATGATGTTTTTCGAACAGCCGCAAAATGATCATAATAAGTCTGAATTCACAGCATCACCTGTATCACCTGCTCCCGACGATAGTTGAGTGACTCAAACGGGCGCCAGTAAACCTTCCATTATTTCCTGTGCAAGAGTAGTCCAGTGGGTTCTGTTTGCTCTAGGGACTCGTTGAGCATCATATCCTTCTTCTAGGCTCTTCGTGAAAACACTGACCATCAGGTCGGTGGTTTTCCTGCAGTAGGTTTGACATCCCAAGGAATCCAGTCACTAACGGCTCTTGTCCATCGGTTGTGATACATACGCATTATGTGTCCGGCCCACCTTATCTTCGACTGTTTGGCGTACAGAACGGCATCTTAGATTTTTGATGGCTGACGCACATCGGAGCTTCGGTTCCTGTTCCTTACTTGTGTGAAACGGGTTACTCTTAGCATCGTCCTTTCCAATGCGCGTTCGATAACGCTGAGTGATCTTTCATCCTGCTTACGCATTGACCAGGTTTCTCACGCATACGTTAGGGCACGAAGTAGCGTTGAGTCGAAAAGGTGAGCACGGAGTCGGGTGTTCTTTGTCCTCTTCACTATATCCTCGATGCTCTTGACAGCTCCTCAAGCCGCTCGTTTCCTTCTGCTCAACTCTGGAGCTAAGTCGTTCAACATGGTGATTTCCTGACCAAGATAGAAATAACTGGAGCATTCGGAGATATTCGTTCCATTGATCGTGAATGGTGCACACGAAACCAATCCGTTCCTCATGAACATCGTTTTTGTGAGGTTTAGACGAAGACCAATCTTTCCACAGGTTTTATCAAACTCGGCAAGCGTATGTTCCGCTTGGCTATTGTTTGATGTTATAAGAACGATGTCATCAGCAAAAGGAAGATGATGTAACTGCTGACCAACGATTTTCACTTACACATTATCCCATTCCAATGTTCGCATGAAGTTCTGGAGGGTGGTGGTGAATAATTTTGGCGAGGTGGTATCGCCTTGCCTGACCCCTCTTTCACATCAGTGTTAATCTCGTTGTAGAATAGTGATATTTTGGTTGTAAAATTTTTGTACAGCTCACGAAGAATCTTTATGTACTGAGTAGGGGCTCCGTGATTATCAAGGGCTTACCATGGCTGCTTCTATCTCAATTGAATCAAAGGCCTTCTGTAAATCGATGAAAGTGGGACAGAGCGGTCTTTTGTACTTTCGCGATACTTCAATGAGCCTTGTTACCGTGTGGATGTGGTCCATCGTAATAAATCCTCTTCGAAACCTTGCTTGCCCACGTGGCTGCCCTTCATCTAGTGTTCAGTCATTCCTGTTTAGGATGACTGGAGTGAAAAGTTTGTAGACTATAGACAGTAAGCAGATTGGGCGATAATAATAACGCGGTCTTGCTGGTCTTCCACTGAGTAGGGACCTTGCATTCAGAGAGGTAACGTGTGAAGAGCCGAGCCAGTGTGTTTACGAGGACTAGCGGAAGGTTCTTCAGGTGCTCTGATCTTATCCTGTCCGGACCTGGTGCTGTTCGATTTTTCATCGACGAAGTGGTATGCCGGATTTCGGAAAGGAAAACCGGTGGTACAAATCCATCCTCCTTTATTTCATATGACGGAAGGTGGGCGTGGCTATCGAGAAGATCTGAGTAGTATTCGTGAATGATTTTCTTTATTGCCTTTCTGGACGCTGTAACTGTTCCGTCTGGGCGTCGGAGTGCAATCATCTTTTTCTTGTAATTGGCGAAGTTTCGGTGGACTTTGCGAATGCTTTTCTCAGCCTCGGTAAGTTCGACCATTACTGCTGCTCTTCTCGATATAAGATCTTCTTTTATCGCCTGTCTACATTGTTTTGCATGTTCGGACGTTAGTTTGCGGTTGCCTGCAGCTCATGCGATTCTACGCTGGCGTATCAACTCAAGTGTTTCTGGAGACAGAAGTTTGTTGATGACTTTTGAACTCTGAGCTTTCACAACGCTAACGTGAAGATGTTGAATGAGCCGATCGCATTCTTCGTCGATGTTATCGACAACGGCATCTGACCAACAGTGGACTAATGAATTAAATGAATCCCAGCTTACGATGGTTCTGGGACTTGGGTTTTGGAATTTAGTGGCTTTTTCTCCTTTCCGCGAGAATTAGAATGTTGCACGAAGGAGGCGATGGCCTGATCGCGTTTAGAATTTTGGGACAGCAGCGACATCGGCTAGGTGAAACCTTCTATTTACTATGATGTGGTCTATTTCGTTATGGTACTCTCCATTGTGAGACTCCCACGTCTAGCGTTGAGGGTGGAGCTTCTGGAACTGCGAATTACCATGAATTGTCTTGGTCGCCATGATAAACTCAAACATCCGTTCACCCCGTTCGTTCCAATCCAATCCATGGGTCCCAACGTGACGTTCTTCAGACGTTCTCCTTCGTCCAATCTTAGCTTTGAAATCTCCAATGATAACCATGAAGAACGTATGGTCTTCTCTGTAGAACTTCTCCAAGTCCATATAGAACTCTTCGACTTCTTTTTCATCATAGTTTGATGTCGGCGCATAAATGACGAAGATTGTCAAAGCCGCTAGTGATTCGCATCTCTTCAATCGTAAACGTTCGATTTCTGTAGTAAGGTGTTCGATTGAATCGTTGTTCATGGACAAACTCGTGTTGACGAGAACGCCGACGCCGCCGACTCCTCTACTGTGGCATGTTCCGAGGACCAATTCTTCTCCGGTGTCATAGACGGCGTTGAATGGTGACGCCATCTCGTCTCGACCGTGCCGTTGACGTCGCGCCTTATCCTTCTTGCTTGCATGAACAAGTCTTCTATCGAGTAGCCGGATGCAAGTGTACGTGCATTATAGGTACAGGTCGTCACCGTAGTTCTTTGTAATCCAGGCAGCTTCCACTGGCCCTGAGATTTTAGCAGCTGCCAGGCTCTCCCATAGTGGACGTGGAGCTTATTTGTCGGAGGCGACTCCTAACCACCTCCCATATACTTTCCAATTACTTGATTGCATGTTTTGGCCGAATTGACTCGTAGAATATAATCCGTATAAGCAAGAACGCACCCACACACGCTTGCATGAATACGCCTCGCAAATACAGAAATTATGTGCCAAATCGGCGCAGCAGAAACAGGGAGTCCATCTGCTGGATCCACCAGTGTTTCAGGGAAGCAAAGGTCCCCGTTTGTCCCCGATTAACACCCTATCCACCACTTGGGAACGCGCCACGTATCCTCGCGACTAACCTGCTCTAGATCCCTCATATGAGAGATATCCGTGGCAATTCATGGTAGTTTAGGCAATTCATTTCCTGAACATCGAAGGTTTCTTAATTTTTCGTGAAAAATTCAATCATGGTCCGATCCTGCATGAAATTTCGTGCTTTATATTTGGAGACTACTACGTCTAGCATTAAGTGCAAGGTTTTTGGAATTGTGAGTTTGTGTCGATGGGTTTGGCCGTCATGATAAGCTCAATCAGCCAGCCACTCGACTGCTTGTTCCTGTCCAATCCGTGTGCCCCAACACGACGTTCCTCAGACGTTGTACTACTCGATTTATCCAACCTTGATTGGGGTGCATAAATGAAACTTATTGCTTGATACTTGAACGGCTAGTCCTCACTGGTTGTGTGGGTCCCAGCATAATCTCCATTTTTCGGAAATTTGCTGTTCAAGCCATTGTGGTTCCCTGGAATCCCGTGGTCAGCCTGGCCAAAGTCTGCCCCAGGTCGTCACCACGACAGGCAGTCGCAGCCCTTGTGGATCAGAGTGAGATTTGCCATCATGCGATTTTGATTCAGTGCGGTGGTGGATCCTGGTATTTGTTTACTCTTAGCTAGGCTTCCTGATGGAAACGCCGAACTCCTCAGCTTAGGAGACCCTGCCTTGGGGACGAATTCCCCCGTTGTACATCGCAGTCCGACACCTAAGAACACCTCCCAGCCACTATGAGGCGGTAAGCCGTTGGGAGGTATAAACGATAAAGGTTGTTAAAATCAGTATTGATCCACATTTCTTCAACCATAAGCGTCGGACTCAGGTTGCTATTTGTTCGCATAAAGATAAGCTTGAAGTGTTGTTTAATGTCGGTCGTGTACGTAATCAGTTGCGTTTATAACATGAGCTGCAGTGTGATAGCATGTGAGAGCAGGACTGTTGTCTGTGGTATAGTACTTAGATACTTGGATAGCTGTATGGCCAGTCTGCATTGGTTGCGCGAATCCCAGCATAATTTCTATTTTCTAAGATATTTGCTTCTTTAGCTATTGTGTTTCCCTGGAGTCGCGAGGTTAACCTAGTCAAAGTCTGCCCCAGGTTGTCACCACCACAGGCAGCCGCCGCGATTGTGGATCAAAGGGAGATTTTCCACTATGCGACTAGTTTGATGCCAAAACGGTGGTAGTCGCTGGTATTGGTCCACTTTTAGCTGGGCTTTCTAATGGAAACGCCGGACTCCTTCTCAGCTGAGGAGACCCTGCTGAGGGATGATCCCTTGCTGTACGTTGCAGCCTTACGCCCAGAATAGCTCCCAGCCATGTTGAGGCTGTAATCCGTTGGGAGAAATAGTTAGTATCCGCATCTCAAAACGGAAACCGATGGTTTTTTTCGTTTAGTCGACATGTGTCTCTTTCAAAGAATATGTCTTTTCTGGTGCTTAACTGTTTGTCTCGTTCACAACCAGATTCGAATATGTTTACCATAAACACCTTCCTTCGCTTCTTCAACTAACATTTTCCATACTCTTCGAAGGAACGCTGAAGATCCCACATTGTCTTCCACATCTCGAGCTTCTTCTTTGTTGCTTTCCATAAGGCGTTCTCATATTTTCAGCATTTTCCATAATTTAAACTTTTATAGCGAAAGAATACGTAAAGTTCTTTCCACATGTTGTTCTACGACAAACTCTGAAATACTCAAGCCCTCAGCATGCCGAAAATTATCGGGACCTATCAAAGATCAGCATCGCTCATTATTTCAACCACAGAAAATTCGATCTTTGATCATTATTTAATGTTTTTCAATGTCTAGTTGTTATAATGGACCACAACTATCGTGTGCTGCAATGGATAGAAGTGCCTTGCAATACACACTTTTTCGAAAGCTCATAGTTCGTACCGGTGCTAACCAAGCCCTCCATCCCTCTGGGGTCGGCAAATTCGTACCAGACCTTGTCTGACAGAATAGCAGCACAGACTTGTTTCATCGGCTAGCCACTACAGGTCTTTATATAGGACGGATATAAATTCCTCCACCTGTGCAATATTTGATGAAGTTGAATGTATGGCGCATCCCTCAAAGTTGATCAACGCCGAGAGACTTATCCTCTCGCCCTTTATTAAACGTTCGCAAAAAAAGAAAGTTGAAGTTATGTTAAACTTTTATTCTATGTAGTGCCTCTTGTGATTAGGACCTGTCGTCGCATTTGTTATAAAAGCTTATAAAAGGCCATCACCAAGTGAGTACGCCTCATTCGAGAGATAGACACAACTCATGCGAAGGCGAAGACGTCATATCGAGACGAAGAAAAACGGTGGACTATCGACTCCGACCATTGACTCTGATGTAGACGAAGACGTCGAAACGTTAGTCGAAAATAAATATCTTTATCAACTCTGCGTAAGCTTATCAAACAAAGAACACGTGTTGATTATTAATACGAAGTTAAGAGAAAGTCGGTTTTGAAATAACGAAGCTTTGTTTAAACACTTGCTTTCCATAAATGTAATCTGTCTGGAATCCTCAACAGTGAACAAACACCTTTTTTCCAAAAGCATTTGCGCTAGAAGCATGCTCCTTTTCTCAACTAAAAGGTTGTGTCAGCATACGGTACAATTTTCCTTATTTAGTGGTTAACAAAAAGGAGTGTGCTTGAAAAGAGGAGATAGCTTCAGTTATTTCGGTGTTCTTTCAGCGGAAAGCGTTGAGCAATTCTTGCTTTTTACTATTCGTAACCTATTTGCTCGCTACAGCCGCGACATCCTAGTGCTTCTGTAGCTCGGCAGATTTTGTGGCCGAATTCAAAATTCCCACTTTTGAGGAGCCTGTGAGAATTGTGCAATCTCTGCGGGCTGAATTGGAAAGTACAAGATTTTCGTTCTGAAGCTCGCAAGTCCATGTGTTTTTCACTGCAAGGACTTCAAATGTGAATTCTAATGCTCTACTTCATGCTTTTTTGTTAGTCGGCAACAATGAAAACTGTACAGAGGTTTCCACTTCTTCTAAGCTTGTGTTAAAGCTATGCCTGTATTAGAACGTAGAATGAAATCAGTCCATGGAATTTTTATTCGGTAGAATACATTAGAAGCGAACTCAGACTGAGTGTCTGCAGGTTACACTTGCAATTTACGTATTTTGTTAGAAATATCGCCTAGGAAATTCCAATACATTCGATATTGAACATAATCAAACATGGTGTATGAAACTATTTGATTGTAGATAAACGATGGACCATGTAAAATAGTTCATGGTTTTCAGCAAAGCTGTCTCTAGAAGGCTCTCAAATGGAAATTGTACGGGGAGGATTCGTGGTCATCTCAGAAAAGCAAATGTATTTCGGGAAAAGCATGTAAACTAAAATTATACGAAACCGTAGAAGCTACCAATGATTACATTCACAAAGTCACTAAAGCGTGAATATGGAATAGCTCTAACGGCAATCTCTACCCACAACATCTGGGTGCTACCATCGCAAAATCCTCTATTAATCTGACTACGCAGGCTAGGATTACGCAGGACTTTACAGGGCTGAGCAAATTAAGAAGAGAGAAAGCCATATAACATATGCCGTTCTACAAGAGTTGATGAAGACAATACCTTCGCTAGCATAGCTTTGGCCGTGAGTTCATTTCCATTAATAATATGTCGATCGAATCCGCTAAGCCTGAAGCAGATAATCATGGTTGAATTATATACAAACATAAATTTTCTCCGTGAATTACTCCTCCTTTCTCCTCTCTCAACATTGCCGAGCGAGGAAGATAAGGTCGAAGAATTTTATGTGAACACAAAGTTCTTTGCAAAAGCTGGCATTTGAGAACATGGTTACTACCTGCAATCTCCTTTCTAAATAGGGGCGTGTAGCGCAGTGGTCGAAGCGGCCTTGCAATACACATGGGATCGATCCTCGCGCCCAAAACTCACCTAGCCCTCCATCTCTGCGGGGTCGGTAGGCTACCACGAGTCATTGTAAAGGCCAGATATGCATTCAGTCACCACCAACGACGCTTAATGAAGTCCAGTGGATGGCGTGACCCTTATAGATTGATAAACACCGAGAGCTTTACTTTTTTATCCTTTATATCATTTCAAAGAGGTCGTCCAAAGAGCTTTATATCCGGGTCAACAAAATAAGACGAATAGAGTTAGAGGCTGAGAGTTCAGCATAACGACTAAAGTGATCTAATATCAAAATGACAACACAACCTCCGAGAGCTCGCAACCTTAGGTGTCCTTTTTTCGACAGTGTATGCGTGAATTTTCCAATGGAGACTACGATTTTGAAATTAGCTACTACTCGTTCTTGAAACTTAAAGGAAACATAACTTAACTTAAGGTATTATGCATCGAATATCTACTCAAGCCATTTGTAATTGTATTGCGTTTCGACAGAACACTGGACTATGGAGGAAAATAAACAGAACCGAATACCATAACTGTATTCACATGTTCCCAGGATCGAGTTTCTATTAAGCTCGGCATTGGAGTATGAATGCGTCGTTTTCTTGTTCAGCAATCGCGAGGATGTTAAACAGCATACATTTACTTCCATAGAAAAACACAATACAATACAACAGTACCTGACGTTTCGGCAGTATCGCTTTCTTCAGAGCCTGGAAGGGTATACTGATATACAATCTACTAGGCCAAACGCTTCAATAACACACACAAGAAGACGAAATACTCCATGGCAACTACACGAACAGCAGCTTCTCGAAAACACCGCTTTTTTACGTGACTTCCAATGAAGAAGATTAGAACAGCTGATTATAGTCGCATATGGTTGATGACTACACCATCCCATATCAGAAATTGATGCGAACATACGGGTTCAGGTCGCGTATGGCCTCTGGGTATCCTCTGGGAATAGCAGGGATGAATGCCCAGAAGTCATACGCGACCTGACCCCGGTATGGTGGTATGGTGAGTTGTTAGAACGAGCAGGAGTCAGGTGACCATCCTTGCATGCAAATCTAAATGCATGCTTTACTGGTGGTCATTCGTGTCACTTGGCAGTGTGCGGTAGTTAGAGGATGGACGTTATTCTCTATAGAACAGATTGAACTATCTGATATTAAAAAAGTAGTTGATATTTCAGTTTCCACATCGCGCGTATCTCGAATTTTGGGTTAGATTCTACGTCAGAGTGATCAGTTCATGCAATGACAATTATAATCAATGTTGATGTTAAGCCGCGATCTGTACTCTTTGGGTTTCTTCGTAATATCGTTATTAGTATTATTATTTGCGCAACCTGTTGCCATATCTACTACGCGGGTTACAGCTCCTTTTGAATTCGATTAGTTTTTCTCTCGTGATCACCCAAAAATTTTCCCAACATTTCATGTCTGCTTCGGCTGTTGCTTGGGGAATTCGTCTTTCTTATGATTTTCATACAATGATAATCAAATTGCTTTTCCTGGTATTCTTGTAGATAACCGAGCTCGGGTGTTCGCGCTTGGATTGGAGGAGAGTGTGGGGGAGGGAGTTGAACCAGAATTTATTTCCTGATAGACTACATCACGAAGCACTCTAATAGTTGGTTAACAAACGCCGATGTTCACTCTCTTTACTATTTTATCCATGCTGTTTTTATAAGTGGTTATATTGTTAAGAAGATAAAGTGTACGCTGTCATAATAAAATTTTCAAATGGCATATTGTTGAGAGGCAGGCTAGAAATTTATCAATACAGTGCTTTGCATGGCTTCTCCATCATAATAGGTTACCACCTCATCGTTGTAGCAGAAGCGTACCTTGTTGGTCGGACTGCAATGTGCAGTTTAGCATCCATTCTGTGATAGGACTATTCTAATTGAAAAAGAGTGCTAGCTTTATACACGACAGAAACTAGAAGTGAGCCAATGCAGGGATCACCACCATCCTGGAGAAAAATCTAGTTGGAAGGTGATAAATCTTTCTTTGATCCATAAGGGTCGTAACCAACTGTGATGGTATAGGATAGCGCTTGCATAGCTAACCCGGAATTTCAAAGAAAAATCATATCTTCATTGCAGTAGGATAACACAGCTCATAAACGTAAGCAACCCAGCTAGGCATATAGAGTACAAAGCGAAAAAAGTCGCTGTTCAAAAGCTGGTGTTCAGATGGTCTGCCTCCATCAGTTTTACGAGCTCCAAGATGTTTCGAATCTTAAAATGATGGTCGCTTTCGAGAATATTTTGAATCCTTTCCTTCCCTCAGCCTGTATTGTGCTTTCTGGGTTAACATTATGTGTGCTCGTTATTTTTTTCAGAAGGTATAGCTCGACCGCTCCGTGAGTGGTGCGTAAAATTATTGACAAGGCTGAAGAGCGAAAATGCGTCTCGTCTTTAGAAGAAGGCGCTCGAAGCACCGTTGAATAGAAAAGTTTTGTGCTGAGTTTTAGGTCTATCAATTTATTAATAGCTTCTCTAATTCTCTAATTCCTTGCCTCCTTTCCTCATATTCAATTCACCTCCAATGACATATAGGATATGCTTTCTGCAATCAAAAGAAAAATTGCGCTTGTTTAACATCGCAGCTTCTGATTTACACATGGTCCCATTCTTCTTCCTTCCCTGCTGAGTTCTGTGTCTAATTCAGTGAAAGTTTTCGAAAAGACAACGGGTTTATGGGCAAAACAAAGGTCTCGTGGAAATTTGTCAACAATCCATATGTCCTCTGCACACCAATCATGCGACATCATTATCAAGTACAGTGAGTGATTGAATAGCGAGCTTTTAAAAAATAGTATCGCCTTATTGACTCTTTTTCAGTGGAGAACGCAAAGTTTTGATTGGTGAGTTGTACTTTTATAGTGTAATTACGATAGCATTGAGTTAGGCTTGTGTAATACGGAACCGCTCCTTGCTCGACGCACACCGATTGAATTGCATTTGTTTCGACTTGCTCCTTCTGGAAAATGGCAAAACTTTTTCCTTAGTTTGTGGCCAAGTGAAATACTCCTACTAAGTTTGAAGCGGATACACTACAGAGTGAGAGTAGTATGTTAGTGTCAAAGATATACTCTTTGCAATCTATGACCATGTAATTGACATCAGCATGAATAGAACAATTACTCTCAAAAATGGCTTTCCATGGTAGAGGAATGTTGCAGACAGGTGATTGGCAAAACAGTTTCCGCTTTTGTTTCAGTTTTCTACCCCAAATCTCCGAAAGGCGTTTTCCTTTCGTATGACTTTCTCCAGTTTGTCGTACCGTATTAAATTTACCCTCATTGGTAACCTTCATCGACAAATGATGATACTGGCTTTTTTTAACGTGTAAGGTAAAACTGAAGATTGGTTGTGAAGCGACGTAGGGTCTCGTATGAATCCATGAGAGAAATAGCAAGAAGAAGGAAAAGCAAGAAAAAGGTGAATAACTAATCTACGTCATTGGCACTTCATGACACATCTTCTCCAGGAATGAAAACGACCTTTTTTAATTAGGTTGCGCAATTTTTTCATTTTTTGTCTCTTTTTTAGTGATCACGTTTTTTTTTTAATTTGGGGTTTGACGCGACGGTGACTTCACGGAAAAAAAAAGATTGGCGCTTGAGGACACTGTTTCGGATTTGCGCATAGCAAAAAGCGTTCATGTGCTGTCGGGGCATGTTATCTTGATCTAATAGCATTGTCATCCTGTGGAATCACAGTTCTGATAGCTTTTCATGAATATATGAGGTAGTGGGATTGGTAGATTAATGAGCAAGTAAACTGCGGTCTTCTGATATCCTGAGGGAAGCTTGCCATGTTGTTTTCAGGTTATATTACATAAGCAGTCGTTATTCCTGGAATGCATTTGGCAGTTCTACCCCTGTGAGAGCTGGAATTATTCCAGGATGGCAACGACTACTACTATTGACCGACCGACAGATTAATTAAATCGGATAAATTGCCACGAATCAGAATATGGAAGTATGGGAATAAAGCATCAACCGAACTCACGGGTGTACCAAGACGATTCTACCTATACAACGAGATAAATTTTACCAACCACTTTAGATTATTTGAAATCCACGTTTTCACAGTTTTCGCGTATGCTGCTCAAGTTAGTGCTCACTACAACATCATCAGATTTCTCCGCTTCGCATGTTGACCTGAATGGTTCCATTACCATGAAGTTTTACTCGCAAACCACTTTTATTACACCAAAAAACGACAAACGGCCTTTAAAAATGACCAGGCAGTCATCGTTATCTGAAAGTTAAAAAACATTTTTTATGAAATGATGTACTGAACTAAGCCTGTTCTTAATAGCTAATCTTTTTGAGCAAAAAAATAAAGACATGCGGTGGAAGTTCATTTTCCAGACGGGCTAACAAGGTATAGCTGTTCGGAAGCTAAACAAAGAGTAAATCTATGTTGGAAATTTCTGCTCGGTGACGATCTGGGGAATTTTATGGTGCTAGTATCCCGCTAATCCAGAAAAGAAAAAATGGCTCTCCGCCGGATGCCAGCAAAGTGGAAACTGTGTTAGAGCGTATACTGTTTGTGAAGATGATTGATTTGAAACAGAAAGTACATACTTGTATTGTTTAGCGGGGAAGTAAAGTGGCCATGTCTCGCTTTGAGATGCATTACTCGTTCTGGTGACGTTTTTTCTATAACGAAATTTGTAACTTTAAAAACTGTTGTTTCCGTAAGTCGGGATTCATGGTACTTAACCTCCAATCTTCGGCGTTATTAAGAAGGCGGCTGGAGCCTGCTGTATGTTCACACGTGTCTTCTTTCTTCCCGTAAAAACATCGCATTAAAATATTGAATGCGGGCCTATAACATAATAGAATTTTACTCGTACGACTGATATACTTAAAATCTAAAATCAGAAAACTACCTCAGTTGAGCCCTCATCTCTTTGTTGAAGTAAAAGTATATAACAGGATTTATCATGTGCGTTGTAGAATAAAAAAAACTGTTGAACACCGTTGCAGCCGAGGAACGAAAATATCGACTGTAGTAGGAAACGTAATAAGCGGTCATGTACCCGTAAAATATAATAGCAACCACAGATATCTGAATTTCCAACGCTGGAAAAAGTGAGGAAAAAGTGAACAGCGTCCAGTAAAGTTGTATTCCGACTCACCTGGAGGAGAATTCGTTGCTGCTGTCGAGCAGCCCTCCTCGATGAAAGCTCTGCAACCTGTGACACAGCAAAAGATTTACTGCTTATTCTCATGGACATTTCCAATAGCATTGTGCTTACTCTAAAACTGGTGTAGCTATAATATTCGAAAGAACATAACACGGTGTCAACAACAAAATCAGAACTTCCTCAGGACTCTGGTGGTGGACTTCTACTTGTTAGAATGCTTCTTTCCGTTATTTAAAGACCAATTATGACAGACTTTTCCTCACTATAGTGTAGAGTTTCGAGTAATTTAGACGGATGATCGTCTTTGGGTCTTGGCTGTGTTAAATTCTAGGCACTATTTTACTTCTTAAAAATAATGTTCTATTAAATTCTCGAGGAACTAAGCCGAAGGTTTCCACATGATAACGATAGGCAGGCATTAAACGTGTGTTGATATAGCACATTTTATACACACGTTTGCCAATCATAAGAACCAAAGTTTTTAAAAATTAGTTCTAGGTTTAAACATTGGTATCTTATAGAAATTTCTACAACTGCCCATTCATGGATTTTCCTGAGGAATTCACTGTCGCTTATTCGCAAAAATATTTGCGATGTCCCAGAGGTTTGGAGTAAAATGTGGACTAACATTGACTATATGTGAGATTGTAGTTGTGCTGATATGCTCATGGATTTAGAGAATTTCTGACTGTACTTCGCCCTATTCATTGATAACCTCCATATTTTTGTGAAAATATCCATGAACACACTTGCGTCTTAAACTTCGGCGTTAACTAAGGCAACGCGATAAAAGTTCTGGTCGTTCTAAGCTGCTCAAATCTAGGATAACATGCGTATTTGCAAGGCGCGATCATTATTATCTTAGACTTCGAGGCAGCCAAGGAAGTGATGTCTCGTGACGGGAAGACACCGCCCATCGAACACCCTTTGTGAAGCCGAAGAACATGCAATTATAGAGGAGACGATGGCGATAGGGACACCGTCAACACAAGATCGACATGAACAACGATTGCATTAAAATAGAACGATCTAGATCAGATGTTCGGACTTTTAAGGATGTGGAGCAATACAACCTTTGATAATCTTCGTTGGCACCCCATGAAGTCATGTGGTAGAGGTATGCTATGTTGACACAGGGAAGGTTTGAAAAAGAAAATCGCATTTTTGACAAATTTTCTATTGGTCACTTCCATGCTGTTCAGAAAGGCGATTAAAAAGATCTGAAAAATGAGAAGCAGCAGGAATGCCCGCAGCTGTAGAAATATGGAGAAGCATCCACAACACCCGATCAGCCTTGGCCGTTTACAAGACCAAGATGGCCAACCCCAATACCCAATGAGAATTGTGACTTCGAGCGAAAGTGCATCGGAGTTAGCCATCCAGCTCCATTATGCTTCGATTTCTCTGACACTCACCACCTGCTGCATAAGGTCAACGAGCGGATATTTCTTTCAAAGCGTTCTTCCTTCGAATGCCATCTCGTCCTTGCACAACATTATAAGACTCGGTGTGGAGATAATTACAACCAAACGTGTGAGAATTGTACCGCTGACCTCTATCAACACACCTAATCGGCTTTTAATACTGGTCGGGATCTAAACTTTTCAGGGAAATCGACAAGATTGTGCGGAATCTTTCCAATCCGCCTTCTGTCCAAAAGTTATTAATTGAGTTGTCGTTAACAGGACCGAGAGAACATAAAAAGAAGGAAAGCTGTGCGAGAAAGCAGAGTTTCGAGAAGAATCAGCCCAAGATTACATCAGCATAATAAGGAAAAGAATATTACCATCGTTAGAGCAGAAGACACTGCTTTGTGTCCTGTTCGTCGCTTTAAAAAGATTTCATCATTCAAAGGCGGATGTGAAAAATCCAAAGAACAGGACTTTTCTAGTTAGTGCGCGAAAATTCTTGATGAGCCGAATAGCAATGAACAACAAGATTTTCACCATTCTGCAATGACACCGTCATTGAGGTAAGAAGGTGGATCCAGTAATGCGCTAATATCTTACCAAAATTGTTTCTTTCACTATGAAAAGGTTGCATGAAAGTTGGAAAGGAATAAGACAGAAGTAAAAGTTGATAGCCAACAACTATATCATATGCGCTTTCCTAATGATTGCGTTCTTCTAATCGTTATCCCTGGATTACGCCATATGTAATCCAAGGATAACAACTGCTTCTGTAGCACAATGCATTGCTTTGGCAGAACGGAAGCTAAGTGATTTTAAGTGGAAGTTTGCCCTTCATTAGAATCTCAAGGAAACCATATTTATCAGAAAAAGTTCCATTTTCCCTTGCTCCGTCCACACCCCAGGAAAGGAATATTGTCGAAAGTTCCATCTACTTGAAATTTTATCAAGGCGTCAACAAGTGGACATAGCACCAGAGTTCAGTAGGAGGAAATAGACGGTTTGAAAACCTTTTAAGAGGCTTCGCAGTGTAGTGAAGACGACAAAGAACATTTAACTACGTGCCTACCCATTCTTTAATTCTACTCTTCTTCTTGCCTTTTGTACACCTCGGAGGCCCGGATGTGAGGCGAAAAACAGTTATTGATCGGTTGGTATACTCGAATACACTACACTGAAATTGTTGTTTGCGATATCCTATATCACAGCATTCGACGTCCCATCTTACATGAATGATCGATGATTGTTGACGCTTCTGTCATAAATGTCGAAAATCGGCTTAGTCATTCATGAGCGTTAGTGTTAACAAATGAACAAAGGCTGTTACGTTGGCTAAAAAGTCCTATGGGATATCAGGCACACAGAAACAGATCTTCTATTTGATGGCCAGGCTTTTCACGAACGTCCTAGATGAAAAACGTGACCATTTCTGCACACGTTCCATTAAAACAGGGTTTCAATGAATTCTATAAAGGCTAATAACAATAACAATAATAATAACCTAGAATTCAACATCTGATCCATGGGATTCGTAGGATACTCGCCATGCCCTGGCTGTCTATTCCGAGGCAACTTAGACGATAAATAGATTTTTTGAACGTGGCATTAGGGGACGATTTGTCGTCATCACCGCTGACTTTCGGAAGAACGCGAGTCGATATCCAGCACTGAGGCGGAAAGCTCCCCTCAGTCATGGCGGACGTCCTCTATGAGAACGAATGTTTTCATGTGGAAGAGTTATACAGCTTTGAGACGACATAAAAATTGTTGAATAAACCATGTAGGCAAATCATTTGGTCGCATGGCGTTAAGTAACACAAAAGTGTGTCTTGCGTATAGTTCTACCATCTTGAACGTTAGGACTTATTGAAATTGTATAATATTTTTCTTGAAAAGCATGAGTTTTACTTAACCAGTCAATGGAAATGCTTGGCTTTTTCATCGGTTTGTCTTACTCAAGACGTTCGTGCGAAGTTAAAATGTTAGCCACCTCTGCCAATGTGATCGCTCGTGACTCAGAAGACTAGAATTTGCGGCACAACTCCGATTTGGTGATATCTCCCTAAATGCGGATAATTGGTGAGTATAAGAATTTGCTACATTTAAGGATAAAGAGTGTTGCAAAAAAATCGAGTCTCTGAGGACTTCTTGTCGGCACTTTACCAGAGCGTTATCTCTGCTACTGATTTCTTTAACTTTCGAAGTTTTAAAAGTGCTTTTTAGGTATAAATTATTGCAAGTCCTATGAATTTCCTGTTTATGAGTAAAATAATGAGACAAGTGCTATAGCTATCGCTAGGAAGACCAAGTCAAGGATACACTTCTCTCGAACTCATTTAAAGAAAACACGTTATTCGGAGTCCAGCAAATCGAATCTCCACGACGAATAAAAATGCAAAATAAAACACAAGGAACCGCTTTGTATCTAATTAGAGTGGACCGTAAAAAGGAAAAGTGTACAAATTCAAATTTACTTTCTTATCAACCCAACTCAACAACCTGAAATCATGGCGAGTGAGATGGTGATGTAAACATATGTAACTCACTGATTCATCGCAATTTTCCGTCGGTGCCTTCGATAAAGTTGAATGAGCGTTGTGGGATTACTTATCGAAAGTATGATTATTGTTATGATTTCTAATGGAGTGTATGTTATTATATAGACGTTCAGCACTTCTGCAAAAAGAAAAGCTCTGTACATGGAGTATATCTGGGCCAGTTAATATTTTTTTAAATAAAATACATTAATTTCATCGGAACCTTGTTTTACAATGTGAAAGAAGCAAGCAATAAAACCTTTCTTATCGTAGTAGTGATCACAGTTTCAGTCATCTACAAAGCTGGTTTCCAGGGAAAACTCCCTTAATTAGAGTGTACTTCATTTATCCGTGAATTCTTGCTCGCGATGGACAGCGTGATTAAGAAGTAGCTCCCTATTTTCGAATGCTTGTAATTACTTTTATGTAATTTAACAATTTTCTTAAAGCTTTGTGTATGTTCGTTAATGTACTGGAGTTAAATTTATGTTGAAAATTCCAAGAACGACTTCCTTTTAGCCTCGTCATCCATCGAAAATTCAGTTTTCATGATGAGCAAGCTCTAGGTTGTTAACAGCAAGATTTATTCAGTAAAATGCTGCCTGACGTTTTGGCGGTTTCGCCTTCTTCGGACTCTGGAAGAGTCGTACTGACACGAAATTCACTCAGTCAAACACTTATGTAACCTCAGAAGACAAAACTTAATTGGTAAATGTTTATTTATATGGTGAACAGCTTCTTTTGAGCACTCACCTTTTTGTTCTTCTTAAGTCCTACAATGGGCGCGTGCGGCGCAGTGGTTGGAGGCGCCATTGCGACACACACGTGGAATCGATTCCCTCGCTCATGGACCGCCAAGCTTTCCATCGCTCCGGGGATGACAAATTGGTACCAGACTGGTCTGAGAGGATAGCAGCACTAGCTCAACACATCGACAGGCTATCGCAAGTCATTGTAAGGGCTAGATATGCATTCAATCACCTCCAAACGATGCTTAATGAAGTCGAATGCATGGCACATCCCTCAGAGATTGATCAACTCCGAAATCTTTATCCTTTATCCTTTAAGCCCTAAAGCTAATATTAGGGATAAAAAGCACAGAGTCTTTCATGGGTGAGATGTGCGTGATAGAATCAATCTAGGTTATGGGATGAGAACTGAGAACGAAAAGAAAACGAAAAGTGAGATGAGAAATTGACTCTTCCACCTCCCGAAGAAGGCGAAACCGCTGAAATGTCAGTCAGTATTATATCAAATAAACCCCGCTGTTGACATTGTTGTGTTTGCTCATAAAGGAGACTCTGTCTTATAAGTTAATGTTATAGTTTTTTCACATTTTTAAAACTTTTTAAGATTGCTGACATGGATGGACCTTACTCTTGCATAAGAGCACGCCCAGCCTGCGGCGTGCTACGAATAATGGAGATCCGTTGTTCATGTGCAAGGGTGACGGAATTCATGCTTTCATGCACAAATTGACGAAACGATGATCAAGAATTATCGCGCAAAACTCACGGCTACATGTTCTGGAACTGGAAGTCTGGAAGTCGAAGAAACTGCTGCCCTTCCAATTCTAGCTATTCGGAAGTAGACTAAGTTGCTTAAGCAACGTTTGCTCATGGCCCAAAAAAATGTGACCGTTCATCAGTGCTTAGAGGATTATTTTTTATGCAAGATAGCGCTTCCTCACACTTTGCTACCGTTGTTGATGAGTGGTTGAATGTTGAATTCCTTGGAAGATGCATGGGTAGTCGCCGCCTCACGAGTGTCAGGGCAGAAACCCTGACTCCAGACTTTTCCCTTTGTCATTGATTAATGGAGCAACTCTTCACTGCCATTACAACAACTTCGAAAAAACTTGAAGAAATTATGCAAGAACCTGTGTCTACATTTCATCCAGACTTCTTGATTAAATCAGTCAATATGATTTCAGGGTGGTTTGGGAAACTGGACGCCAATGCTGCTGTTCATGTAGAACTTTAAATAAAAATTCGTGCCAAGTAAGTTTCTGCATATTTGCTGCTTACTTACTTTCTTGGATACTTAAAAGGCCAGTTTTCATAGGTGATGCAGGCCCAGTCATAGTTTCCATTCGTTTTTTTCCCGTGCAATTGTCGTCCACGGTGGAGGTCTGCTTCGAACATGGTGATATTCTCGAGATCTATTACTATTTCCTAAAACCTCTTCAATGTGCGAATGTAAATGGTTAACGTTAGCCACGGACCCTCCCGAACATCGTTTGGGTGGTCCTCTAAAAGGACGCTTGCATTCTTTTGGAGTTCATTATGTTGTTCTCTTCGTCCGATTCCTCTTACTCTTTGACCGATCCATATGTTTCGTTATCGATATGTGCTCTACTAGGTCTCGAAGATGAGATAGACTTCGAAAATCAAAAGATTCGCACTTCGGCGAGATGTTGTGTGTGCTGATCACAGTTCATAAGACATCGTTCAAGCGCTCTGTGGGTAGTGAGCAGATTTCTTGACATGCTCCAAGTACCGACACACGTCTCCGCAGCATAACAAAACGCTGGGAGAGCCGTGGAGTCGAACAGATGAGCGCAGAGTTTTGGGTCCATTTGTTGGCCTGTTAATTGCATATTTATCTCCCGCAATAACTGTAGTTAAAGAAAAACTTGTGGAAGTTTTAGAATAGAAGGTTACATTTCGGACAGCGTTTTGATCCCGAATGCATACAATGCAATAGATCAAACGAGCCAGTAAAGATTATCAGTTAACAATAGTCTCGTAAACGAAAAAATCGAGCCTCAGTTGTATAGTACAACTCACTGTTTTTGCTGCTTATGTCAAATATGTAGTAAACATTTCGGGAATTTGGGAACAAACGCTATTATGGAGGCGTACATATCTATGTAGTGCATAATATTTAGTGCAAACCCTTAGTGATAAAAATGAGGAAGTTCCTGTTTCCAGCTCACAACGGTGCCGTTTTTCCAGAGATTTGGATCGTACGGCTAGTGGAAAGACTTAGAGAGAAGGTTAATAAAATTACGACCGCTGTAATGATTTGTCTGTAATCGAATGTCTAGAAGGGGGTAGCGCAGTGATTAATAATACCGTTGGTTAGGAAGCATAGGTTGTAGTCGGACCCTTCCCCAACGGTGTTATCCTACCCACGTAGGAAGGCCTTAGCTCGACTATCCCCAAGATTGCGAAAAAAAAAATCCACATGAAAAGCGTTCCACGACATTCATAAAGAAGACGAAATCCACAAGCAGCAGCTGAAGCAACACGCGAAATTTTCGAAGCCCATTGTGGACGATGAATGCGAAGAAACGAATAGAATTGATGAAGTGTTGGGACACGCACACAGGACGTGATGATGGGCCATGTAAAATTCTAAAGAAAAGCATGTTTAATTTGCATCCCACCTTTCTCAAGGTATCCGAAACTGTAGTAACTTTGTGACTTCAGTGGACGAATCATACAGCATTGATCGAGCGTAAAAAATGTCATATTCGCTCCGAGGAAAATTATCCAACAAATTATGCTGAAAGAGATTTAGTGGAGATTAACCTCGGCACTTATCAAGTGGAGTATGAAGAGGTTCAAGAGCACCAATTCTCATTCGGAGCAATTTAACGAGTGGTATTCGTTTGGCTCTTCAGTCATATCCCGTGAAATAATTTGCACATTGAAAATTTAATAAAATACAAGCCTTCATTTGTCACCTGTAATTTCTCATTCGTGGAGTCGTAATTAGAAGACTGTATCTATCGAACAACATTATTGCTATCAGTCGATCAACGCAAATTGCAGACATGTGTCTGTAATATTTGTCTCTGTTTTCTCTACCTTCTCGATCTGTCGAAACCCATAAACTTCAACGTAAAGAATTCTCGGATGGACAAAACAAAACAATTTGAATTATGGATAAGGTGAAGAAAATAATGAGGGCGTGGCAACCGTTTACATTAGGTTGCTCGGTGACTAATGTTCGTTCGCCACCTTAATTTTTTTTTGTATATGCTTTGGCAACATTTTTTTTTCGAATGTTGTGCATTCATATGTTGCAAAGCACATTTTACGCACTCTCGCTGTGTATATTTAAATTATGACATAAATGGTGTTGTTGGCAACTTTTGGATCATAGAATATAAGATGACTGAGCAGCATTTTTGATACGTCTTCTTTCACAAATTTAAACATGGACGTAATGCAGTCAAAAGGCCCTAGACATTAATGTTGGGTCAAGAAAGAGTTAATGAAGCACAGTGCAAAGCTGGTTCGAAAAATACTGCCTAGGCCAACTTTTTCTCGAAAAGGAGGGGATTGCTGATGTACTTCTTGTTTTGACGACGATGAACTGAATGGTTTGATGAAAGCAAATACGCACACAGCCGTGCGAGAACATTGTCCAAAAACTCTGTGCAAACATCTCAGCTGTTTCAGAACATTTGATAAAAAACTGGAAAGTCGAACAATCTCAACAAATTGATACTGAACGAATTAAATGATAATCAAGAAGTCACTGTCTTCAGTCCATTTTTAATCTAGTCACAACTCGATATGGCAGTCAAAGAGCCAAAAAGCTTTCAAGGTTCTCAGAATTTCATGTAATCAGTAGAAATCTAATAAACTTCATAGTGAACTGAGATATGCCAACCTTCATAGGTCAGAAAACTGGCACCGAACTACACCAACTACTAACTTGCCAAAAACATTGACATAATTAACTTTTTATTTACCGCATATTATTTTTTATGGTAGGGCGTTATGTGAATTATAACCACAGCAGCGCACTTCACCACTACACCATCCGGGTGACCGGGATGGTGTAGTGGTGAAGTGCGCTGCTCCCCGGTAAGGACAACATCGCGTGTTCGTTCCCCACTGCATACACCTGTGGTCCGGAGTTTTGCAAATATCTCAGCACTTCATACGAGTTATATTTCACAGCATACCCTGCCATTAAGAAGAAAAAGGCAGTAAATAAAAGAGTTAAGATTGTGATTATAACCACAGCGATGCTGAGTTATTTGCGAATTTCGCACCTCAGCACAGATTGGAACCCGCGATTACCCTTTCAGGGCACACACGTGTTACCCACCCGAATCTGGCCTGGGGTGCAAGTTTTTCAAATATCTCAGCATCATTGTGGTTATATTTCACATAATACCATACCATAAAAAATAATATGCAGTAAATAAAAAGTTAGTCATGTTTGAGCACCGCTGTAGTTGCAGTCCACATAATACGCATCACTTTTTTTCGCCTGTACTTCTAGCTTTTTTACCTAAGCAATTTACTGGTCACTTTTCTTCCACTACTCCAAGAAACCAATCAATAACTAGCTGAGCCTTTGAAATTCGTCGAAAAACTTCTTGAACAGTTAAGCCTATGGAAACGTGAATACATGTTTACGGTTTCATTGCAAACTACTTAATTAACACCTGTTGATCAACATGCTCTGCACAAGATAATGATGCCATAAACCTATATGATACTTGAATGGTTGGTCCTCATAAAGAATTAGCTAAGCTGTACCATATTTCCTAGATATCTAACGTATTGCTTACTGAATAAAGTGTGTACGCTTGTGCCTCGAAAATGCCGCTGTCCTACAAGTGATTTCGAAGAGGGGAGTACTGGTGTATTGCAAGGTTATCATCGCAGAATCACTGCATTTGCACTCATAGAGATAATAAGTAGATAAATAATGCTCTCGGCGTCGATCAGTCTTTGAGGGATGCCCTTTGTATTTGGCTTCATTAAGCATCGTTATAAGTGAGGTGATACAATGACTGTGGTCTATCGATGTATCGAGTCAGTGCCGCTATCCTACCAGACAAGTCTGGTACCAATTTGCCAACTCTGAGAGGACGAAAAGCTTGGTGAGCCTTGGTGCGCGGGGGCAAATCCCATGTATGTTGCAGGGCTTCTCCGATCACAGCGCTACGTGCTTCCCAATTGCACGCGAGCAATTCCATGGGTGATCCTTCCGGAGCTGTGAAATCTATGCTATGCACAGCAGCATGAAAGCTAAGTAACAGTTAGATGAGTCCTTTTTTTACAACTTCTGTCCAACACAAGAGGAAAATATTTACAAAAAAGTGCTGCTGAATAAATTTTCGAGTTAGGTTCACTGCACATTCTGATGTTAGGCAATCTGTTACAGACGAGGAGGCTCTTGCGGCTAACGACATGTTCTTGGTCTTCGAGTGTGATTCAAGGTTCCAAAATTACAAGTGTGAAAGTAGCCATCACTACTTGCGCGCTGGCTGAAGACGACTTAACATCATTCTTTTTGCAATACTCCTTTAGTTTCAAAAACCCCCGATTTTGCCTCTTAGCCAGAGCGATAGATATTTGAGTGTGGAAAATACATCTATATCTTTCTTATTCTTATTTCACCTTGTTCGTATTTTTTCTTATTTGTAAATTTTCCTTTACATGCTGTGCTATCATTTATCTTTGCAAAGCTCACTTTGCACATTTTGGTTACGTTTTTCTTTTCGTTATCTACCTCAGCTTACTGAATCCGAATGACGGTGACGAAGAATGTCCACAAAGCATCAAAATGCACAGACTACTTCAACGACTTCGCTCCTCATTGGCCAAAAGAAGACCAGTCCTTCTCCACGATAATGCGCGGCCACATGTGGGACCATAGACGCTTTAAAGGTTGAACGAGTCCGACTACGAGAATCCCTGACCTCAAGTACTCACTAGATCTCTCCTCTACTGATTAAACCAGCTGGACTACAAGACTCCCTCTGACCCCATATATTCGCTAGACCTCTCGTCTACCGATAACTGCTTTTTCATGTGTCTCCATAAGAAATACTTCAGAAACGAAGTCATTGGCGAAACTGTCTTTAGCCATTTCATCGTCACCAGATGTCCAGAATTTTATGCAATTAGTACAAATTAGTTGTTGTTTTTCTTAAAAAGTTTTTATTGAAAAGGATGTGTGACTCTAGTAGTTTTTATTCCGATTAATAAAGTTTGCTTGAGTTATGATACACCACTATAATATAGGTTAAAATGGGTCATTAATCTAAGGTGAATCTAATACATCTAAAGAAGGTCTTTGGTTCGTCATTGCGATGCGAACAGACCAGGTCTTCTATCCCTTCAGGGTCGGCAATCAGTCCCAGACTTGTCTCAGAGGATAATTATGCCGAATTGATATACTAATAAGCCCTTTTAAGTGAGTGTAAGCAAATGTGCATCTATTCACTTTGTAGATCATAACTGGCCGTTTTATGACTTTTCCTTTTTAAAGATCCTATCAAATATTGCGTTTGAAAGATTTATGTACCTTTACCTAAAAACAAGATTGTTTGCCATTTCAATATAAACGAAAAAGAAAGCAAATATTTCTACTACGAACCAAATGTCGGAACTGCTTTCATTCCGCTTCTTGCAAATGCACTAGACCCGCTCTCTCGCTCTTCAAAGCTTGAAGGGATGTACTTCAGTGCGGCTGAAAAAACGGCTAGCAAAGCCATCAAGACGTAGACCGTTACAAGACGGATGCTGATCATCTTCGTATGCCGAAAGAGGTTGAGGGCATATTCCGAAAGAGGCGGAACAAAGAAGTACATCTCTTCAAGCTTTGAAGAATTATTTCTATATCTCAACATTAAGTGCAAGAAGTATGAAGTGGTGTTCACTACCTCATCCAAAACTGAAAAAATCCTGCTTTGCAATCTTTTTACTTTTACAAAAATAATTGTAAACTACTTCTCAGTGGTTCTTTCTCATTAACACTTTTTTCTCAGATGGGGAACAATTGCGGGAAATTTCACGAGCACCTCTGACAGGTCGAGCTACACACCACTCGCCATTGCTAGCAATGAGTTAAAAATGTAGTCAAACGCAAATCGGTCACTAGTGGCCCTTCGAATACACCTGACACCTTCGCGACAACGTCCAATCTCGTGTTTGTTGCAGAGTGGACGATGAGTATTTCTCAGCTCTTATGTAATTGCTGGGTTTTTTTAAAATTAAAAACAATTTTTCTTTAGCTTGAGAACCTCGAGGGTTGTGAACATGAACGGATTATGGAAAGGTCTTTGGTCTACCGTTCATTGGGTTTGAACGATATTTATGCTGCTGTTTACTACGTGTTACTATGGTTCATCATACAAGCACATTACTGTTAGAATTTGGAATTGTTTTGGAACTTATGGCTCTTTATTTCAGCATTTTTTCTGCCCTCATATTCTATACGATAAGTGTCATTTCCTAGAGCGTTTAAACGCGAAGTAGTAGCTGATTGGCATCCAAATGTCTCGTGAATTCGTTCATCCGTGTTTCTAAGTGCAGAATAAAGCTTCTCCTAACCAACACCCAACACAACTTCAATGTTTGACAGCTATCAGTTAACAGCAAACAGTGTAAAATTATGTCAAAATAAGCGAACGGAAAAATCGGTTCTATTGGTGTCTTAGCGGCCATTTCTGCAAAACCATTTTGACACCTATAGGTGTCACTGGTCGCGAGAGTGTTAAAGTAATCGCAGCCTAACTTTGATACCTCCGTTATGCCTAAATCTAAATCTACTTTGTAGTTCTGCTGCATTTAATTTCGCTTACAACAAATGTTCGCTTAGCGGAGCAGTAATCTTAGGGGAAAGGGAATCTGCATATGTTTTAGGAAATATTTGAGGTTGAAAGAAAAGCAAATATGTAAATAAATAAATACGACAGCGTTTTACTCACGTAAGCGTTATGGCCCAGGCAGTCCAATCGACAATGTTAAAGAGCCGAACGATCAGCTCTCCCACATGAATTCGTTTCAAGATTATTGGTGGATAGAAGTAGCATGTTGTTACGATTCCATGCATGACATCAGCGACCGCAAGATTGAAGATGAGGATGAAACTAAACTGGCTATTTTTCTCATTTTCCTTTGTATTCCGTTCTTTTAAAAAACAAGATTTTTAGCAGTAAAATTCCATATCTAACTTGATGAAAACTTTTTGGTTAATATAATTTTTTTCATGGCTACTTCACCAGTCGTTTTAAAGCTTAAGATTTTCTTTCCCTTAATCCACGTCTGTTCATTTGATCCTTATAATTTCGAACGTCCTAAGAAGTCGAAGGCATGAAGAAAGGAGTCATTCAAGTACTTTTCTTGTATAAGTGGAGATGTGAGCACTGGTTTCCGGAAGCATCAACACTGCATTTAGGTACAATTTCATAGAGGCAGAAACAATTTGTAAGCAGACCGATTCATTAGATTCCACTGGCAGATCGAAACGCCACCAAGAAATTCTGAACCCTTCGTTTCATCAGATTTTTCTAAAAACACTTCTGGAACGAAACAGCACTTCCGATTACTAATGAATACTATGTTACACTCGATGACGTTCACCGTTGTGATCAGGTGATAATGCAAAGCTAAGTTGAGATACCCTCTATCCTGATTTTGCATATAAAGAAGTTATTGGTCAGTTTCATAGGTAACGGCCATTGTTATCCATCATAACCTTTCAAATTTTCAATGGTAAAAAAATATATGGCTCTAAAATCAAAGCATTACTCAGCTAATATTTTATCAGGAGAGAACATTTATTAATGAAGAGGAAAGGACGATTCTAATCAATTACTTCACATGATATAAGAGGTTGAACTTAAGCCGAGCGATTAAGATCACAAGATGCTGACTAAAACCTAAACCATTATGATGGCTGGCGCTTTGATTTGTGAAGTCCAATTCAATCAGAGATCACAATATATTGAATATGTTCTTCACATCGCCATTCCAAGCTAACATTGTGCATATTTAGACAACATCATTCTTCAACTACTTATTCCTAATGCAACGCTTTTTTTTCAACAAGCTATATAAATTTTGTTCGCACTATGTTTGGAATTAGAAGTGATCTTTTGTTATATTCCCTTGCTGGTTCCAGGCGCTAAATTTCAAACTGCATTAAGCAAATGGCTGTCTAACGTGACAAATGATGGGAGATGAATTGGAGCACTTATGTTCAAAAGTCTACGATAAAACGCATGAGCAATAACTTTTCAGAAAAAACGGGAATCTAAGCAAAGGGCAATTTTTTAAAGAAATCCTTGTAAGAACAACGCTTACATGCTCATCTTTCATAGGATTGTAGAGTTTCCATTCAAAGCAAGTTTGACTTAAAATCAGATGAATGCTTTACTCGGTAAGCTAAAAAGTGCAGCGTTCGGTTAGCATATAAACGACCTCTTGCGCTCACTTTTTCGGCTCATTGAATTGAGGAGCATGATCGTCTCGGATGATGGATTTGCTAGTCACAACGGCATCTAGTACTTTTAAGTTAGTAGGCAACTAAAATTTGAGCAAGTAGTGCACTGCCTGTTAAAAAGCGAAATGTTTGCTGCTCCATTTCGAGTTTGTAGAACACATGGAATCTCTTCGTGCGCTACTTTTCAGAATTTTCTACTGTTCCGACTTTTCAGAGACTGAGGTTAGATACAATACACTAACGTATTCACCATGATTTATAGGTCTACTTTCTACGGTTTATCATCAAATTAAACATCTGGGACTTTTCTTTAAGAGTGAACAAAGTGTAGATTCAGAGACTGCGTAAGCACAGGGTGAATGGAAAAATCTTTTTGTAACTGACAAACAAGAGATTTTTTATAAAATCCAGCATGCTTTTTTGTGTGAATAAAGAAGAAGCGAAACATATAACATCGAATAGTGCAAGCATACCTTGCTCTGTTGAGATATTTGATGCGAATGAGTACGTATATCAATGAAATGTTGCCAATAATAGCTAATACTCCCAGTGACTCAAGACCAGAGAAGATAAGCAAATCGATGGCTCTAATATCGTTACCGGAATTTGCGCTCAGATCCATTGTCCTGGAAATTGATAGAAATGTCATGCTGTTAATAACCTCATGATTTGGGCGAAAATACCGAAAATTACGATAGGCGATCACCTTATAGCTTTAATGAAACGAAGAAGTCGGACCACATAGTGCAGTTCCTCATCTAGTTTTGGTTGAAACTTCACAGATGATGACAAAAGAAGTAAGATGGAAAACACTTATCTTCAAGGCTTCAATAGCCCTTTAATAATCTACATGCATGGACTAATTTCAATGGCCAGATACTTCTTTTTATTTCATCGCCTTCTTGTCAAAATATGACTGATTGCATTAATTATGCTTATCATTTTTATCATTTTTTGGAAAGAATGTAAGACTGACAACGAAAAGTGTGATTTTTTTCCTTTCTCTAAAAGCTCAGTATGAAAACAAACCACATCGATACCTCTAAAACCTCGAGATATCCTAGTTAGAGTTTTTCTGATTGCCATCATAGGCAATCGTTCTTACATGCGCATCGGAGAAAGGATCATCACTTTGAGAGTAAGAAGGATTTCTCTAGAATAGAAGCGAAATGAGATTAGTTCGTCTAAGCTAGGCCCTTAGATGGAAATCCCAAATTGCCTCGCGTTGTTAGCGTAGATCGAAAATCAGCATCTACGATCGCTTTCTCTTCTGGATGAACTGCTTAACTATGTGGGAAGATAATTTAATAGTTAGTTATGGCTATGGTGAAGAACGGAACACGTAACATAATTTACGAAGGGTAACATGCGAGAGAAAACCGTTTTGACACTGATAGTTTTTCGTTTTGGGAAAAACAATTCTGGAAGAATTACAGTAGCAGTTTTCTGAAATCTTGCTGTATTGTCGTGTTTAGAATTAGGAATTTACCAAAACGAATGCAGCGCTTTTCAGATACGTGAAAAAGTTCGGAAGCCGAAATCTACTGTCAGTGCAAAGCAACATCACGTCTGGTCAAATGAAAGCCTAACTAGGAAGCAGCACATGTTATAAATTTGCTAACGATATACTTGATTGGTACATAAGTTTGAGAAGAATTGAAACCCCGGAACGATTTGGCTCCAAAAAAATCAGCCACATGAACGAGCAGCAAAGAATTATCGCTATATTTCATTCAGGTGTATAAAAGTGTTATAGTTGGTTGGAAGTGAAATCGTAACTTGTTTGAAGCAATTGACCTCTACAGTAAATAAATAACCCAGCTTTTAATAAGAAAAATATGCTTACAAAATACTTATACGTAAACAAATTTAACATTAGCAGCGTATGTACGACTTGTAACGAGTTAACAAATACAAAATACTCTGAGTTGTGCGACCATCTTACTATGAGTGCAGTCTGTAAGAACTTGAAAGATGTCATGGCTTAGTAGGATTCAAAAAATGATGCCATTCTCCAACGGATTCAGAGCTATGCAGAAGGCTTTATTGGATAGGATGAAGCAGCTTAGCTTCCTGGCTAGGCGGAGTCTTCTCCGGCATACATTTAGAGATGTTGTGGTTTTGTCTCACTAGCTGGTCAATTCGTGATTGCCAGAAGTGTTTTGTTCCGCTGCATTCCGTGCGGTCCCAGCGTGTCATGTCATATCTTGTTAGCCAAACTCTGAATTACAAATCAATGAAAGTATGATAGAAGGAAATAGCCTGCCTCAACTTCAAAAGATAAAGAGAGAGGCAGCAAGTGGTGCTTCAAATTTGAGTTATACAAGCTCTACGCTACGTAATTAGTGCAGCAGTTCAAGCTATATAACAATGCATTCTCACTGTTTGGCTATTTATTTATTCTATTATTAACGATTAAATATGCCCTATCAACTATAAATACTGTGGGAAACTGCATGACACTGAAGCACTCTGATGACAACAGATCATTTTAGAACGGTTTTCCATAACATAATGGTTGATAGAGAGCACTTAGTAAAGTAGCAATTTTAATGAACTGCTAGTTCTCGCTACAAGCAAACAACGCTGCAACGATTTTTTTTCTGAAGTGAAAGCAGTGTACCTTTTTAGAATGGCCGTTAAAAGAGAGTTCAACGAGGGCTCGTACATTTATTCTCTTTCACAATGGAACGAGTCTGTCAGCAGTCGTGCAGAATTTTTAATGTCTATTTGGGGACCGACTTCCATTTAACCTCAATTTTGACAACCAAATTTGGCGAATAAATTTTTGAAAGTGCCTCGTGTTGGCTGTTATTGAAAGAAAATGGTTTTAAGAGCGACATGAACTACAAGAAAAGAAGGAACCAACATAACCACGTTGACCAGTTTGAAAGTGAGAGACCAGTGTTAATGAAGACTAAAGCCAATTCGATACTCTTCAAACTTCGATTACATAATTTGCTAAGTAAGTCCATAGCCTCTCGTTTAGTTTGAATCGTATTTTAGACCATACTATCCACAAGTTATTATGTAACCAAGTTTAGCCAAGAATGATTTTTCCCTTGAAAGTAACCAATAAGATTGTTGAAATTTTTTTCAACAGTTGATCAAACCTCAGACAAACAGCTAAATCGGTTGTCTACTTAGAATGCTGATCATCTCTAGTTGCTGAAACTAAGCAGTAGCTAAAGTTTTTTGTATCGTTTTTTGTTGGTTTCTTCTCGGTCTTTGTTCTGCCGAAAATTTCACAATGCTTTCATACTTCTAGCAACACACCGGAAAATGCTAGAAGTGCATCGAATTGAATTGTTATGCTACTTGTGCACCAGACTGCTATATTTGAAAGTCTCTATGCATTGGTAATCTTTTTATTTACCTAGGGATGCAACTTTTTGTTTTCGTTTCTTCACTGCAATGTTTGGATGAAGCACTCGCATTCTCACTAGAATGGGAACAGCTGTTCTTTCGTTCGCGACTGACACATGCGGCTAAACGATGGAAATATGTAAAGCTGAAATGCCAGTTTAAAAGTGTGACTAATTCATTCTATTAAAAAGTATTTCTAAGATGCTCTTCTGCTGGTGTATGAGGCGTTTCAGTTAGCACACACAGACAGATGTGCACACTCGATAATCGTTTGAACCAAGGTCTGCAATACTCAGGGCGACTCCTGTGGATCTTCTTCATTTCAATTTGGGTATGTTTTGTGCAGAAATAGCGACTAAACACAATTTAGTAGAATAAAATAGAAACGTTTTATTTAGCTTTCCATACGCACTCCCTTCAACGACAGGACAATGGTGTGGAAGATTGTAATGGGAAGTTTTCCAAAATTAGCTTATAGATTAGACGAGTGATGATGTTATACACATAATGTCTAGTGTTACAGTTTACAAGATGAATACAGAGTTGGGTAGCTTTCTAGTCAAATACAAGGTTAAGGGATTGCTGATTTTGACCTTCAGCATTCTTCACAACACATTTGTATTTCGCCTCGTCGTCCTTTTGTGGTCCATGAATTTCCAACAAGAACTGGTATCCTTCCTTATCCTGGATAACAAAGCATTTTTATTAAAAAAGTAAAAAGTACTTTAAATTAGACACCTTGTCATCCTTCTTAACTACTGCCTTCACACGATCCGAAAACTTCACAGGTTTGTCATCCTGAAAAAAATATTAACAAGCGATCAAAAATCGTCAACTATTAAAATTCGGCGGTAGTAAAATAAATAGTTCCATGAGCAAATTAGCTTTATTAACATGTTGGTGGCGAAAACACCTTCGCTTTCAAGTGTTTCTTCTAATAATGACTTTATGACTTCCACTTACTTTGAACCACTCCGCTTTCATTTCCAAGTGTGACTTTGCTCGAACTTTGATCACAATCACATTCCCGTTGTCTCGTTGTACAATATGGGGTTTATCATGAAACTCGGGTGCATCTGCAGTATTTGCAAGAATTGTTTGAAAGTCGCAGTGACGCTTAGATATTTGTAAAACGCCATACCGTAGGTCTCCGAAGTGGGATCGAACTCGTTACCACCCTTTCCAGGAGCTAACCCTTTCACCACCACGCCATGCGAGTTCTTTGTTTAGCTTTTCTCTTTGCTAGTTTTCTATCTAACGGCGCTGCCGGCAATCACCCGTTGGCGGGATTGATATGAGGAGCACAGAATTGTAATGAACCTAGCTGAGCTGGGGCTCTAGTTGAGATCACAATGCTAACCTTTTTATTTATTGCCTAGTGTGTTTTTTCACTGAAGGATATTATGTGAAGTGCAATCACAATGATGCTGAGATATTGTGATTGCTGATGGCGCCGAAAGACAGATAGAAAATTTGCTGAGAGAAAGGCGAGACGAAGGACCTGCACGGTGTGGTGGTGAACGCGTTAGCCTCCGGAAAGGGTAGTAACGTAGTCTGGAATTTTGCAAATATCTCAACATCATTGTGGTTGTATCACACATAATAAGCTGATGTGAAAAAATCCACTAGGCAGTAAGTGAAAGGCTAAGATTGTTTTAAAATCAACAAAGTAGACTTTGTAAGTCTAAGTCCTTTCAGATTATTTAAAATCATTTGACAATATTTTGCATATTTCCGCTATAAATTCATATTTTTTGAAAGCCATCACTTCCTGCTGTTACAGTGAACGTCGCGAAGTTTTCGGCATCATCAGAATAGAACACTGCTTTATATTGACCAGCAAGAGACTTGTCGAAGTCCTTAAAATAATTCGTAAACACTTTGAAAACAAGTACCATTGAGGAGATAGACTACTGGTTACTATAATGACATTCCAGCACGACTTAATGTGTGCTTAAAAACGGTGAGGTATGAAGTTCACTAAAATATTGTCCAACATTTTGCCAAGAGTAACCTAAACTAACGACTATCGACAAAAAATTTTGTTAAAGTAAATAAGTGGACAGAAACCTTGATCTCATACGATAGTTTTCACCACAAACCTTAATCTCACACGATAGTTTTTTCCTATTTCCTCCTTCGTCTGAGTGAGTGAATATGTAGTTCTCTGTTTGTTCTAGTTCCCTGTCACCCAGCATCCACTTTGTCTTCGTTGGATCAGCTCCAGTGACAACAACCTACAGTACAGAATATTTTTCTTCAATATCATTCACCATGATGGTTTAGAATGCATTTCATTATTCACTGATCACTCATACCTCGAGAAATACTGAGCCATTATCTGCTGATCGAATCTTTGGTTCACCATAAATAGTCGGCGGTGGCATACCTAGAATAGGAATTGTCAGCTAAGCAATTTTTCCGCTATCTTTTCTTTGTAGTTTGAGAATACAACGCGCAGAAAATAGCATTCTAGTTGTTGGCATTGCCATCTTTTTTATTTCCTCTATTGCTGGAACATTTATAAGGGTGGACGGTCACATAAAATTAGCTGTGGAAAGAATGCAATTTTCAGTTCATTTACGCTTTATATTTAATACAACAGCTTTTCTTTTTTCTCCACTACATATTCTTCGATAACTTGATCAACTATTCACAAAAATCGGAATGGAAATAGGAATCGCTGCCGCCTGGTTGGATCTTAAATGAAACACTCTACGATCCAAAATGACTCCGTCTGAGATGAAGACCTAAGAACCAGCTAACATGGCAAACTCGCGATTCCAGGAAAAATTACGTTTAACCAATTGTACACATATAAATGAGACAAGAAGACGACAAAAGACGACAGTAACCGAACACACATACGAATTTGATCATTTCCGAGGTGAGAGTTTCAGAACTACGAATGAAGGAATTCTGTGATTAACGGTAACAGGAGCTCACCTATATATTTAGCTAAGTAGTTATAATAAAATGACGGTGAAAAAATTATAGAAGACTGCGCCGCTTTGTGCCAATTAGTAGAAGATGCAAAGTTGGCCACATAAAGTGGAAATGTTATGAATGTCATCGAAAAACATAAGAGTAGGTAGCATGTGACCAGAGAATATACATTAAGAACTTACTTACTTGATACTTGAATGGCCCGTCCACACTGGTCGTGCGGGCACCAGCACAATCTCCATCTTTCGGAGATTTGCTGGTTAAGCCATTATGGTTTCCTGGAATCCCAAGGTCAGCCCTGCCAAAATCTGCCCACCACCATGGGCAGTCGTAGTCCTTGTGGATCAGAGGAAAATTTACCACCATGCGAGTTTGATACCAGGACGGTAGTGGATCCTGGTGGTGGTTTACTCTTAGCTAGGCTTCCTGATGGAAACGCCGGACTCCTTCTTAGCTTGGGAGACCCTGCCAGGGGATGAATCCCCGTTGTACATCGCAGTCCGACACCCAGGCACACCTCCCAGCCACGATGAGGCGGTAAACCGTTGGGAGGATCCATTAAGAATCGTTTACCAAGTAAGCATTTGAGCTGTTACTTCTAGCAAGGACAGAAATCTTATATAATTACTAACTAATCTGAAGCACGTAAAGAATAAGGGAGCTTTTTGTAAGGGACCGCCCATATTCATAGGACAGCAGTCGACGTATGCGAAGAACTTTTCAGTAAATATCAGTCCGACAAACGGCGTACACCGCAGATATAAAAACTGCCAGCTCACGTTGTAATGCGTGAGCGTTAGTACTCAGAGTCAAGTTTCGCAATTTATTGAGAATGGACAAAAGTAAAAAGCACAATTATGCAAAGCTTTAGGGTTAATTGAGGAAAAACCGTGGGGAACGAACCATAGAGCGAAAATCATTAAGTAAAACGAAATTTGAAACTTCTCCATGCATCGCATTCAATAATGATCAAGCTGTTTTTCTGCATCGATTCGCTGGCACTTTCAGCTGAATGGATTATTGAGTACTGAATCGTTTCTGTTAATGAATCGCATATATTTGCGGAAGTGGATTCGTTTCAAAAACCTTAAGCGTTCTTTCCTAAGGCCTCGTTATCTAATAAAGCTACTGCTTAACACTTTTTGGGGAAAATAAATGGTTTTTAGCTCCTATGCGGTAAAAAATAAGCAGATCTTTGCTAATATAGCACAAATTTTGTTATTTAACCACGATGAGGCACTGGTTTTCTGAGACCGACAAATGGCTTTCCGATTGTTTTGATCGAAGAGCGTACATTCAGTAATAGAACGTTTGTAAAAGTGGATGGCCATTGTCTCTAGCAGGAAATACTGATATCTCTACATCACGAGTGTTTCAGCTACCGCGCTTTCTTCGAAACCATTAAAAATCTATCTTTGTGGTTTTTCTTTTAAAAAATTCCATTACAAGCGAATATGAAAGTAATGCGATTTCTGAAAGACGTTGTATATGCGCTCATTCCAAGCTAGTGAATTCTGTTTTACAATATTCTCAAATCCCCGGTTTGTAAAGCAGTCTGGATGCTTAGAAAATGGCTTAATACAAACATTCTTTACACAAGAACATTCGGTGCAGCCAAAGTGTGACACACATTTTCAAAGACGCATATGTCACTTTGTAGCAAACTCTCGTTACTAGAATTGAGATCATTAACGATTCTTCAAGCAAGTTGAAAATTACAATGTAAGCTCATAAAGCTTATTTTTTGGGATAAAGTCTTCGAAAGGCTTCGTCAGCAGTGTTTGGGTTGTTGCTAATTTCTCCAGGGAAAGTCTTTGAACAAACGCTTGTGAGAATGGTGAGAAGTCCTCATTCTCAGAGAAAAAATGATAGAAATGCTCAGCTTCGCATCCCAATTCCTTCAACTTGCGCAAAGAAAAGAACAAATTTATTTAATTTGATATCCTCGAGTAAAAAATAGTTTTTTTTTAAAATTTGATCACCTAAGCACATTATTTTTCGTTAGGTTCTTAGCATTCGCAGAGATAGTTGTCCACTCACGACCTGAAGATAGCTGGCACGGGTTATCTCACGTATTCAGAAAAATAGAGCTCGATGAGCATTTAACATCTCAATGAGAAAAGAGGACTACAAATCCATATATGAATAAGTTGCAACAATGATGTTAGTATTATGGTGCAGTGGATGGTTGATTCCATCTTCCAAGGAAGAATGTAAGAATAACCAATTCTGCAAAGTTTTCTGCATAACCATAACCACGAACGTAGTACGACGGTGTCAAGACAATCGATGAATCTGTAGAGAACACAACTTTTGCCAGGGCAATCTCGTTATTATCTTTCCTTTTCATACATTGGTTAAGTTTCTGTTCACTTCTCAATCGATGCAAATGTTCGAAACTGTTTTTTGTTTCGCTTAAGCCGATCTATTTCTCAAGATCTTTGGCCGTTTTAAGTGGATCTGATTCTCCTAATCTCCTGGTCGTCGCCCAGTAGTGGAACAAGCTCCTTTTTTCATGAGCAGGCATCACATACTGTGCAGGTCACAAAACTTCTCTTATTTAACTCACCTTCTTCGATCCATATTCCATAAAGGGCTTCGTATTTATGTCCGGTTTCGGCGGCTGCTTTTTTGATCTTTTTGTTTTTAGAACAGTGGTCGAATAGATTGTTTCTAGGATTCTGATATAATCATGCTAAGGCATCCGCAGTTCTTCACCTCAGGCAATAATCTGCCTCTGTGGGTTGGAGGAAGCTTTTTCCAGACATGTCTGGCACTTGCCCACGCATACAACGATGGGTGGCCTGGTTGGCCCAGTGAGCTGTGCTCATGCAACGAAGCACTTTCAAGCCATTTTTCAAGAAATTCAGATTGAGAGCACGCCAGGAACAAAAACTGCCTTTGTTAAACTTTTTATCTACAGCCCAATATTTTACCACTGCATGGTATTGGATGAAATATAAAAACAATCATGCTAAGATGTCTGCAAAACTTGGGTCTCAGACCAAATCTGAACTGGCGATTATCCTTCCAAGGGCATGCGTGTTACCCGCTACACCAATGAGAAACTACATTTGTTCCATTAAAAATTAAGTAATTCGAAAGACCGACTTCCAACTACTGTCAGTGAGTAGGTTTTAATGCACAAGCTATTTTGTTTTTACGAACTGCCCTTAATGAGACCATATGATGCTGTGTACACGTTCCTCCAAATTTTTATGGGCAACATTACGGCGATTTAGCAGAGCCGGATCCTATGTAAGCAGCAAACGCTCTTTAGAAAAAGTCCTTAAAAATGCTGTAAACTACTGAAAGTTAAAAAAAACGTGTCAACAACTTCCTGGCGCTTGATAAAAATAATTCCACCTTCAGAATAAACTGGGTGAGAGCTGTGATATTCCTGGGGTTAGTGAAATCACATAATTCCACATTTGCTATAAGATCCATATACTTCACTAGTCACCTAAAAAGCGAACCAGTTTTCTCAAAGAGATTCTTCACTTTCGGAAAATACGGAGAACTTTTAGTCTAGGAGGTCTAGGTCTTAAAAATACTGCTATATCCGATCACTGTATACTAACACACTTTGAGATGCCATTCAAATAGTACTACGCATATTTAAGTCTTCAAATCGTTTTGGCAAAGAACTTTTCAAGAGGCAAACAGTCCTGAAAATCTGGTAATATTATTGACGAATGCACGTGAAAGCAAGATAGAAGTAGCTCAATATTACACTTAAGGAAAGCAGAAGACCAACTACCTGAGCTTGCAGCAAGGTTAATGAGTTATTTCTTAAATAACATCTTGCACTTTTACTAAGGTCAGGGTTAGAGCAATGGATAATGAGAATATCAACTTTTTTTTGAATAATGGATCATTGCTTTTTACTTCCACTACATCCGGAGAACCACAGGGCAAATCAATCAATTCTGAGAGAACTCCTCGCGGCTTGTGAACAGATGTTCGGTCACAGAAACCTGCTCAATAAGTTGTTTTAAGAGTTGGCGATCGTCACCCAAATTTCCTCACTGCTAAGAAAATCACTACAAGAATGCAACTCATTTAGTGGACAGAATTTTCTCACTATTTGCAATTTTCGTACTCTTCTTTCTTATTTTTCTCTTAACTATCAAAGAGAAACTTCAATTCGCTCTAGAGAAATCTTACAGCAAAGTAAATTTTACTGTTGACTTTATAAAAAGCTATTAACAACGTTAAAAAGAAAAAAGTCACATAAACAAAAGCAGAAACATTAGATGATTAGCACTTTCAGATGTAGTTTTATGCTAGAGTTAGGTGGGAGCACTTCTGCAGTTGCTTGTGATTAACTGAGATAAATGGTGTACATTTCTGCTTTTAGCACTAGGCTATCCTCATTTAAAAACAGTGAAAGTCGTACCTTCGTGCTCATACACTGACAGATATTCTTGACCTAACCAATAAGTTCTTTTACTGAGAAGTTCGAAAATTTTTCCCACGTATGCTTAGAACTCTCCAAGTAGAAGGGCTATTCGATATTTTCCAACAGGAAGGCCTCGAATGGAACTCGGTTGGAAAGTGTTTGAGTTCATCTAATGACGAATTGTTTGAGTATTCAAGGAAGTAATAACTTTCAATCTTGAACTCGTTTTTAGCCGCCATATTTCACATGCACCTATATCCACTGACGGGATCGATCAACAGGCCTTAACTCAGAACGGACGCGCGCTGTTTGGCGTGCCTCTCCGAATGGAATACCAGCAATTTCTCTTCGGCTGCCATTTTGTGGTTTTTTGACAGTAAAAATGATTTTCAATTATTAGGGCATTTTAGTAGTTGTGAACATGACACTATTGTAGAAGGAACTTTGCTCTATCGTTCTGTGGTTATGGATGAATTGTATTTATGCTATTATTTACTGTGTGTTATTATGTTGAGTCTCTTACTTTGTTCCTTATATCCGCCAAGTCCTTACAATAACCACTGTGAGTAAAATTAAAGAAGAGTTACTCAAATTATCATTCAATAAACTTGTCTCGAAAAAAATTTTTCCATTAGTCATTAAGTGTGGTGAATAGTTTTTTTATGCCACCCGTACTATTTCGATCTGTTTTCGATTATCTATCAAATGAATATAGGACGGATAGCACAGTAATAGTGATGCCGGTCATCAGGAATATGGTGTTAGTGCAATTCCGTCCTAGGCCAACCAAACCTGTCATCCCTCCGGACCTGGAAATTGATGCCGGATTTGCCGGAGGGAAAATCGCTAACTGCAATCCATTTTGGAACGCTCTAGCCCGAATATCTCGAGAGCCCAGGGGATTGCTCGACCAGTATTCTACGACATTAAAGATGAAGCGGGATACGTCAATCAGCAACAGAAGTCACACGTAAAAGTTGGAAGATCTTCGTGGACAATGGATGCGAGGGAACGAATCGAATGTGAGAAGTGCTCTGTTCCACACGGTAGACGTGAAGACGGGTCATATAAACATTTAAAAAAATTGAATGCTTTTGAAAAAGTAAAAAAACCAAATGTTGTAGGGTAAAAAAAATCTCCATAGACTAAATTGAAAATGGGCCCTATAGTGTCCATACCGGGAGTTATCCATTAGATATAATTATGTAACCTACACGTGCTCAGTACATGTTGAGTACTGCTTGGCGGATGGCATGAGACATGTTGTCTTATAAGATAACGATGGCCGCAATGCTCTTATCAACGCTCGTCTACGCTCTAACATGTATTTGGACACTAAATATTTCTATTCCTTCTGCTTCTTCTATTTAGTCCAGGTTTTCGACTTTAATTTTAAATTAAACGGCTGCATCCTATAAATAACGCGAATAAAATTTCCGATGGTTGAAATGGAAAAGCACGTCTTTTTAAGGTGTTAGCTGACGATGGATTTACACTTACTAACTCCGGTTATCCCAAACCATACAAAGGAACACTTGACCGGTCTGATTTTGACTACGTTTTATGTTATCTGCAATTGGAGTAAATACCTTAGATATTTTACGTGAGCTTTAGAAAAGTATCCCAGCGGGAACATACCTGTTTAAATATGTCACAAGAATTTTTCACTCTCGAGAGTAGCAATCCAGGAATTTCAAAGCAATAAATGAGCTATCAATTTATCTAATACTTTTACGTTGCAGACTATTTTTCACTGAAAATTTTTTCTCTCAGAAATTGCTACAATCATACTGTGGATCATGGTAAAGGAGTGGTGGTGTTTTTCCATCAGTTTTTGGCTAATCCAGGAGACTGCGTGATTATTTGCGATGAAAATGCGTTTTGTCAGAGGTACGGCTTTTAACTAGTCACCACCTTTTTGACAGTGCAAATCTCAGCGAGCTGCAAGGAACCTCTAGATTTGTGGGCCTTAGTTATCGAAATGTACATCGTTAAGTGCCATTGTGCTAAGTGGTATGACATTGTCACTAATCTTGTGAGTAAAGATCCTCATAGACTGCAATTATGTTGAGGCTTGTACAGTTTTTAAAGATCGAGATATTAGTTGCTAAGTATTTTCCGTTTTCCTTTCAGAAAAAAAGTGTTGCCTTTTGTGAGTGAGTTTTTCTTTCCAAACTATCACAACGTTTGTGATTTCTAGAAGGTGAGATGCTCAAAGTGATCACCGTTCCCTTAGAAACCATTACGTATTGTTAAAAATGTTACCAGTCAGTTTGAGAAAGTTATAGCTTCTAGTTGATTGATGTAACAATACTACTCTAAAATTAGGAGGACGATGCCTCAATTAACGCATTTCGCACAACCGTATGTTTGAAGGCTCGATCCCTTTGAAAATCGATTGTGTTTCATAATTCAAATCATGGAAGTTTTGAACGCCGGATTTGAAAGAGTATTAAAATCTGTCTACGTTGAATAGAATATTGCAGATTTCATATTTGCTACCTCTGAAATGTTGATGTCTACTATTTCTGGTTGTGCGATCTCACATTTAACTGAAGTTTTCTTAGTGCGGGAGCTCCCAGCAGAACATTTTTTATCATTCTGAAGTTGTATTCGCTAAGCTTATTTCTCAAAAGAAAAAAACTGCCCTGTTTAGCCTTGCACTTAAAAGACAGGTGACTGTAGTGAAACCGCCAGAGTTACCGCACTTTTTGTTTTCGTTCTCCAGGTTTTGCCAACCACTTCCTTTACATATCAACTGTGAATCCATGCGAAAAACCTTTAAAATCGGTAGAAACAAGTCGATAACAGAGTGCTTTAGGTAATGAAAGATGTGGTCTTAAGATTTCGAATTTTTTCGTCTATTATAGGTAAAACTCCGATCTATCCCATTCAAGATATCCCATCGGGTGTCCTCGCAAAAATTCAGGATCGGAAATCATAAAGCGAATTTTGGATGACTTAAGAATTGATGGAAGAACACAATAGCATAAGTGTACAGGAGCCGTCTGAAATGTGTCCTTCAGCTTGTGCGGTGATGCAATGGACCACCAGAAAACTAAGAAGGTCCTCGTTGCCAACTCCTCTGCGACGGTAACGATGATCTCAACGTCTAAATCCGACGGCAACTATCATTCTGGAATATATATGAAGTCGATATCATTTGGTGACCTTATTTATTTCTAATTTTACCATATATTACCCAACAATTTCTTTCCAATTTTCGCAAAGTTTCATCAAATTTAGTAGGGCACTTCTCGTCTTAGTTCGGGTAGCATTGGCATCACCTATTTTTGCTGACCTTCTGGACAGTTCTTTTCGAAATTTTTGTTTTGCTTTTTTCCTTCTTGAGCATTCCAAGTTTCAGTACTCACCCAAAATACGTGGTTCTCATATTGGTTTGTAAGCTTCTATTAAATACAAAAAAACATTACTAAGTTGGCCGAAGCTATCAGAAGCGAGGTCCGAAATTTGTGAACACGATTACGATTACCGGAATATGAACCTTAGCAGGATGTCGGACTCTCTCCAATGTTGATTGTTGTGGGACCTTTGAAGTTTGAACATTTCCAGCGAACACTTACGTATCTAATACAAGATAACTGAGCTATGCAGTCTGGGCTTTTGGTAGCTTACTTTTAATCATTTTTTTCACGATTTTTATCTCCAATGAAAATTTTAGTCTTTCTTTTACAGTTACACAAAAATACCTCAGAATTCTAAACCATATTATGTATAAATGCCTTAGATCTCAAGACGCGGTCGTACTTCCAATGCAACTCAACCGTCAAGCTTGAAGATGGAATGCCATTTTTCCTAGTTTCACAAAACTACCCCAATTCGGCATTCGATTATGATCCCTGTACAGTGACATTCTTTGCAAAGGATGCAATTCGTGCTGCCATATACGATCTCATCACCATTAACACCGTCCGGTTTAAAGGATTTGATCTTTCCCAACAACCAGTTGACATTTCGCTTCGGTGAGAGCTTTTACACAATTGTTGCTCCGCAGTGTTTTTTCTGAATTGGGCCAATTTTAGAAGACTGCAATTTAAATTTTATTTCGTTGAGCTGCACGCTTAAGCGTTAGTTGAGTTTTGAGAAGGTGCAAGAGAACAGTTTCAAATTAATAAAACAAGCTGTAGCTTGCCTTTCTTGCGGTGAAGGCACAAAAAATATTCAAAACTCGAGGTTTTTCTTGGCAATATGGTAAACGACTCCCAAGGATTAATCTTCTTATTGTGGCAAAAAGATGTTTTTGGGTGTCGTCTGCGATGTGCAGCTGAGGATTATCCTCACATCAGGGTTTTCTAACCTGAGAAGGCACCAGACGTGTCCATCCGGAAGCATAGCTAAGAGCAAATCAATACCGGGAATCCCCACCGTATTGGTGTCAAATTAGTCGTCAGGTGGCAAGCCTCCCTCTGATCCATAATAGCGGCTGCTGCCTATGGTAGTGACAATCAATGGAAAGTTCCGGCAAGAGTACTTCCGAGACTCCAAGAAGCCGCAATATTTCAGCCAACAAAATATCACAATCAAATTCCGAGTTGTGCAGGACGACATTGGAAACGGGCGAAACGAACATGCCTTTGACGCGCCATGAAGAATGCTTCTTTTTCTTCACGTGTAACACTAGAACAATCTCTTAAAACGTCTACCTTTACGCTCTTCTTGAGGCCGTTAGTGCTATTAAATTGCAGGTGTTACAAATTGCCCTTATAAAAGACGAAAAGTTGTGACATGTCGGAGGCGGTGTTAGCTATATTGTGCAAACATCTACTTCCCATCTGGTCACCTCATACGACATCCTATCATCGCGCTTAACCATTATTCGCTTCCAATTTGCGGGTCAAGAAAAAGTCTGAAATACGAATTGTTACCCACCAATTTGTAGAGCTAATAAGAGCCAACTGGACATGTTTTAAAAACAATTAGAGAAAGTGATTCACAGTGAGAAGTTCTTTTATAAATTCGTTGTTCGAGGGTTTAATGCCAGACGAAAGAAAATGGATACAAGAGATGGAAATTTGGAATAGGAAAATGAAGTAATAAATGAAACCGCCACACAAGACGGCTTGTCTGCGGCACGTCTTTTCCGTGCAAATTCATTTTTCAAGAAGAGGAAAAACGCTGATGAAAATGGGAGCCTCCTAACGGCGCAGCTCGTGCAGGGACCGATGATATTCTTACGAGCAGAAAACGGTGCCTCTTAGCACCACAGTGGTGCCTTTCCGTACCGGACCGTGTTCTCCGTGCGGAGATTCGATTCAGCTTTAAGCTGGAAAAAAATGCCTACCATCATCTAAGAAAAACGAAACAGATCGTGCTCGACGAAAATATTCTCAGAAAATTCCTCTCCTCACATGACTAGCAGATAATGGGAAACCTAACCCAAAACTACATCTTGTTTGTTGAAGGGCTTAAAACTTGTGCCGTACTTGCCTCAATTTCTCAGACGAGAACTTCAGACCTTATCTCCATTACCACTACTGCTCGAGAGGAGGACACATACGACCGGTTTTACTACAACGCAGCTAACACGGCTAAAAATAAATGCCAGCTGTTGTAGATTTTTGCAGGAGGAATTACATTAGTATAAGGATAGAAACTTACTGGAAGTAGCTCAGAGCGACCCACTACAGTGATACGCTATCCGACCTGATTAACAAAGATGACACTATTCTACCATAATGTGGCATTGACTAACGAAAAGCTTTCATACTAATTTTTTCGTTTCACAATTCCAGTTTCGAACCGCGAATCCACATTGGAAAGAATCCGATCAGGGTTCCGTCCTCTGAGGTTCGAGTTTTGAAAGACAACATGAAGATGGGCAGAGCAGATCCAAGAGAATCCAAATGTTCTCCTAAAAGGTTACCCAAACGAAGGGCGGACATGTTTATGGCTAACATCAACCATCTGCACTCGCAGATGTCAACGATTCTAGGGTTCCTAAATGGGTTTGAATGGAAATCAATGAAAGTCTAAAAAATTTAACAGCTTAGAAGTTTTCGCAAACTATTATTGGCGATCCTGAGCTCTTGTCGGCATTCGATGGCAGACGACTCGCATAATAAGGAAACATTATAGTGGTTAGAGATGTCCTGTTATATACATGTGAAGGTTGGTTCGATCTCACGCCTCGAGCACACCATTTCTTCCATTTCGCCGTGAACTGACGAATTAGTATCAGACTTGTGTTCGAGGATAGCAGAATCGAGATGTTACACCTCTCGGCCACAGCAAGTCACCGTGTGAGCCAGATATGCACTCACTCGCCTTTAGCGATGACTTTAGTCGAATATGTGGCGTATATCTCACTATTTGATCAATGCAGAAAGTTTTATCCTTTTACATATTATCCTAGAAGTTCAAAGAGACTGTCATAACACTTTTATGAGAGCGCAGCAGGTCAGCTAGTACGCCTAATTTTGGGAGGCTGCCGCACTGGAGGACTTCAACGACGTTAGTTTTCGAGAACCAGAAAACTTGAATGTTGGAAACTTTACATAATTATAGAACAGAATTTGAGCTGATAATACGGTATATGTAGTATATATGCTGCTATTTACAGCATATCTTTTTCAGCAATCGCGAGGTTGTTATTTAGCGCACGTTTACTTCCGTGTACATAGAACCTGACGTTTCGGTAGTATCGCCTTCTTCAGAGCCTGGAAGGGAACACTGATACGTAATTTATCAAGTCAAACCTCTCAGCAGCTCTGAACGATAATTACACGATCAGCTGCTTCCTGAAAATCCCACCACTTTTTGCCTGCCTTCTACCGAGGAAGAACAGCGGCTCAGAGTCGCATGTGGTTGATGACTGCACTATCCCATATTAAAAACCAAAACTGTGGGTTTTTCGAAAAGCCGTTGGTCGTGTGATTACCGTTTAAATTTTTATTTTTCTGCTTCTGCTGTTAAGGCGTTTCATCTAAGAAATTACGTATCTATGTACCTTTCCAGGCTCTGAAGAAGGCGATACTGACGAAACGTCGGTGTGTTGCAGTGTTCTATGTGTACGGAAGTAAACGTTTGCTGAATAACAACATCGCAATAGCTCAAAAGAAAACGACACATTTTATTATCAATGGACAGTCATTACCAACAACACCCGTCCTCTGTAAAAGAACGCTGTCAGGTGAAATTGCTTCATTCGAGCGGAGCTGCGATGAAAACACCACACAGTGATCGCCTGTGGACCAACGACTCGGATCATCGGCTCCGATAAGGTCTACGGCATCGAAACATTAGTCGAACAGAATAGGAGGTATCAACCTCATGTTAACTTATCAAAAAGTAATTCTTAGCATGGTTAACCTTGTTGTTGGGTGAATGTCCGCTATTGATCGCAGTTCGACATCAAGAAACAACGTCTTCGGAAAAATTGTTTCGAATAAAGGTGTGAGAATATTATAGATGCCACGAAAACAAAGCTATACATAGAGAATTTTGGTTACTTTAAAATTACAGTTAATACAAATAGAATATCCTTAGAAGTGATGAAAATTGCTCATTTCTTCAGTTTTTTGTAAGCAAACAGTGTGTTGATTTAGTGGGAAACATGTGACCGATGATGAACCGTTGGCTTTGTACTTCACAAATACTTTACAAGTATCGTTTGCCTTCGCTGATACTCCAACTTCCTATCGAAGAGGGCTTTACGTCCTTGTGGATAGTTACAGCAGTAAGTGGCCGACTGCTGTCTTTTCAACCTATTGGATGTGTTAATCTCGAAACTGCTGTTTAGGGAAGATGAATTCGACACAGCCCTGTCTAAACGAAGGAAATTTCGTGCTGGATACGGGAGAGAAAATCCCGATAGGAACAATCAACTTTGGAAATGAAACATATGCCTCATATATGAAATGTTCATACTTATTCGAAAATAATCGAAAGAACCATCAAATTGCAATAGGTTGTCACTTTAAGTCCTTTTGACATCATAAAAATATGTTAATTGAAAACAATAAAAAGTATAAACTATTAAGGTCAGTAAATATATTCATTTAAATTTTTCAAAATTACTCAAATCACATCGGCAGTTTGGATGGGATATTAGATATGCTGCTATTCTCCTGTGAAATGCGTAGATCTAATGGAGCTTCTCAGAATAGTTCTGTAGCTCAGCTCAGCTTCTTTTGCAGAAAAATTTTGAGCAATGCTGCAAATTCTAGAAGATTTTCTAATAAAAACTGACGGATGTATTGATGCGTATGAATAAAAATCTAATAACACCACTACAAAGGAAAAAGCAGCCACTTCATGGCAAAACAGTTCACTTTATTATTTACATTGACAGCAATATAAAATACATTATTAAGGGATGGAATCCGAAACTGAGAAGTGTTGCGATGTTCTGCTCATCGGCGGACTCGCTCCACCGCCTGGCGGGGTAGGTTGTCCTAGTGCGATTCTTCGTTGTGTGAGTTAAGCTCTCACCAGTTTTCAGCTGTATAATTACCAAGGATTCATACAGCCTGTATTTCAATTTGCCAGCACCAATAGAGTATCTCTCGAATTCACTTCAGATGGCACCGTTGAAGGGGTTGGATTTAGCGGAAATGTGTACAATATTGGTGAGTTTAGTAGTAAAGCAGATAGCGCTCGGTGATGATGATGTATTCTGAAATGAGAAAATTCCTTTAAGACTGTACGTGCAATTCCGGCAATCGTTATCTATCTGAGGAGTTTCGCTTTCTACAACTTACCTCTCCTGGTTTACTTTCTGGAGCACCCACTTACTGCCCGAATATCAGTTGTTACTGGATAATTAAATTTTCGACTGAGTACGAAATAGTGTCAAGGATCTCAACGTTGAGTTTGCGATCATATATGGAACAAGATCTGCTGACGATCATGGACCGATTTGGAAGAGTTATGTTGCGGTAGATATTCCAAACCTCTTCGTTTCAACTATGCCGCCGTGAAAGTATTCCGTTCAGAGCCAACTCCGACGTTACCGGACCGAAAGAAATGATAACCACCTCCGGCGAGCTTTCGTTAAACTTCACAACGTCTCCGACCACCGCCTTTCCACTATCAGCTATTCAACCAGGATTCGTAATCGAAATTACGCTGTTTAAAAGTATAACTCAGTTCACACCATTGGTATTTTTACACAAGCGCACAAACAACGTTATGTTATCAACTGACAACGTTGATTGAATTGTACTCAAAAATAGCCTTTATTTTAGAGAACGTCCGCAGAAAAAAAATCATTTTAACGGACGACAATTTTCTGGTTGAGATTTCTACAAAATCGTTCCATGAAGGATTAAATATCACATATGAATATGCTCTGTCGGCGCGCCCAGGGAATACGGTCAGTGCCAAAATCGTCAAGTATGCTTCGTTAAATCTTCGAATAATGCTCAAAAACTAAATATTTTTAAGTTATACATGTGGTCGGAAGATTTTATCTTAAACGACACTATTCTATGGGAAACCAGTTTCCTGGTCAGAATTGTTCTATGTAGGCCTCAAATGAGGCGTTAATTAGGTTGTGTCTTCAGAGATATCTGCTAGTTGAACTGTCAGTAAATTGTTAAAACTTTTAGTATAATAGAAAAAGCCTGAACATAAAGAGGTTTTGGAGCGCTGCTGTAATGGAGTGACTAGCTCCGTTGTTTCCTTCAAACGGTTTATTTTGTTTTGAACGTTGCTCAACTCTCTCATTTATATCACTCCTCGTTTTGATGAATAACGCACAAATCTTGTTGTCAGGTGACAGTTTATTTCTTGACAACTTTAAAAGATGTGGTGAATCTGGATATATACGATGGTCCTGATACGGCAGCGACAATGATCGATCCAAGGTATAAGCGTACCTAAATCTGTTTTACGACAGAGGTTTCTTTTTTAGTGGCTCTTTCAGAACAGTAGGAAGCAATGTTAACAGTAAACCGTGATTTTTGTTATGTGTTTTATTTAGGATTTTATATGAGAACTTCACACAAGATGGAGAACCCATGAACGTCGTTTCTTCTCAACAGCACCTTTTGATTCGAATTCGCCCTAATTTATACAACACCGAAACCAATCTGGACTTCCGAGCTATGGTTACAGACTGGCAACAAGGTTTAGACTGCTTTCGACTTTTAAGTTTGCCGCTTTGATTATCATGTCAGATCGTAAATGTCCGCCAATGCTTTGGAGCGCATCCACTGTTCTACAAACAGACGCTATTCGACTCACTGGAACTGATTGCTTAAGTGTACGAAGCGTGAAGGTGTTGCCAAACGATCAAACGTGTTATTTAAACACAGTTTTCAGATTTTTCATGTCAATAAAGACTACGAACCTTCCATAGGAATCACAGTGGAATTGGAAAAAAAGTCGTCCCTATCGCACATCGCGCTGTTCAAGGACCTTACAACGAACATATCTAATCTCGTGATGAGGTACATTTATTTTGTATCCTTTTCTGGAAAACCAATCCACAAAGGATGCCCAAGACGTTTTCTACTATATTTCCGGCTATACCGTTTTACTATTCGAGGAATGATCCATCGATAGTTGAGAGGGCGACAGCTGTTCTATGAACAGATGTACGCCTTAGTAAGACAGAAGTGTCCGAAAAAATTAAGCTTTACACCACTAAAATGATGCCCTATTCAAACAGTTGTGCTATAAAAGCGACGATAGATAAAAGATAAGAGCTCTTTGAGGGATTAGAGATTAGTACAAGTTTTGTTAAACAAAATTGAATGCAAGCGTGCGTTTTCTAAGCAAAATAAGAGAGTGGGAAACTGAGCGATACCTGATTGTTCCACCATCAAAATTTCAAGTAGTTTACACTAAAATTTCGAGCGATCACTCCAAGGAAGTTAATCATTAACTGACTTCATAAATATTTCCGCAGTTGTTGTGGTATATTTTCACTTTTTCAGTGGACATGACAGACAGTATCCCAATTTCATCTACGGCATGTACGTCGTTATGTTTTACAACTCCACTCAGAACAATTCCGTCACATATTCTTGGCGAAGAGGAAGTAAGTTGGAAAATATCTGATGACTGATTTCGCTCTAGAAAATTTGCAATGAGAAAAAATTGCTGTCTACTTTAGCATTTCTACGTTACCTTAAGAATTCACTCTATCATTGGACTAATAGACTAATAACAAAATATCCAATGTTTCAGTTAACTTAGAGCGCTTGAATCTCAAAACTTCTTTGCATAAATGAGGTAGGACGACGACCTGTGTTAGGGAAAGAGTTTGTTGACATTTCCTTAACTCAGTCGAAAATTTCAAAAGCGTCGGACGTTATTAACAAACTGATAAATGCATTTAGAATCGAAGCACTGTCGCTAAAAATTACCTGGGGTCTCAGATCTGTGAATCTGAGATCACACGCAATCTGAAGACAATCGACCGCTATAAATTTCTGATGGTGTAAAGAAACGGCGACTATGGAGTGCTGATGTTTTTTCTTTTCTTAGCCAACTTCCGAAGCATTTCATCGTTTTAAAAGTCATTTTGGAAAACTGGATTTTAAAGATGGGATGCTGCAGTGCTTGATTTTGATCAAACGTAATTGATAGGCTTTAACTTGTTTCCGTTTAGGTGTTATAATTACCCGGTGATATTTCCAATTCGATTTGAGCACGAATTGGAAATATCACCGGGTAATTATAACACCTAAACGGAAACAAGTTAAAGCCTATCAATTACGTTTGATCAAAATCAAGCACTGCAGCATTCCATCTTTAAAATCCAATCTTCCAAAATGACTTTCGATTGATGTTTAGGTTTTGCAACAACATTACTGATGTCACCGAACGAGTCCGGCATAATAATGTCAGAAGATTACCTTCCTGCATTTCCACTGCCGAGTTTTGAACAGCAGTTTTCTATCGAACTGGTAAAAAGACCTTCAGCATTTCCCAATTTCACAGTTCTTCCAAAGCGCAGTTGCATCTTGTCACTGATTCCAACCTTACTCCTCTGCACACTTTGCTTTCAGGTAGCAGAGAGCCATTTGATGAGTGGAATTAAAATAGAGTTTCTCAGAGCACCTGGACAAGGACACGGCACATTTCAATTCCAACAATACAATAGATTGTTGGATGACATTACGTAGTTGATTTTGTCTCTTTAGAATAACTTAGTATTAATGACCTTGTCAAAAGTACAGCTAATTAAGGTTCCCTGTGCAGGATGGAAGGTCACATTTCGAACGGTGCGGTAACAAACTGATAGTTACGTATATTTCTCCTGGTGGGACCTCTAATGGACTATATGCACGATACAGTGCAGGTGATAAACCTTTTTAACTCAAATGCTTAACTTTACGCATTTAGTCCTTTATAGCTGCACTACACTGCAATACCGGATCTATAGCATTGAATTCGATCACTTCACCGGTTTTCCTCACAACCGTTTTTTGCATTTCGATGTGCTCAACGAGATAAAGTGTTTATGATGCTTCTCCGTATTCTATTGCTCCTGTAATTATATTCAAAAATTTTCTTCGACATTCATAAAAGGTTACAAGAAAGTACTATTAATTTTTCTCATAGCCTTTACCTAAGCGATGAACACACAGAGTTTGAAAAGGTCTAACTTTCCAAACCAACAGCTCTTCTATTAGTGAACTAGCGTTGCGACAGGTTGAACAGTTTGTTTTTGAAGATAGAGTGTGGTATACGCAGTTATGAAGAATTCGATCCTTAGAGGATTGGCGATAATTCATTAACTGCCTTTGAACCAACCCTTTTCAAGTATCGATTTATAAATAAATGTCCTTCCTTCGTTGGAAACGAAATTGTGGTTAAGCAAATATTAATTTTCGCTAATGCTGTCGTTGCCGTTTTGGGGCTTTGTGTTTTCCCTATACCTAGGCTTAGATGTTGGTAATTAATAGCCAGTGAACGTTCAATATTTAGTGCTAAATAAAGTGCTTGCTCTTTCGGCTCTTGGGTGGGGTGTTCGAAACTTGTTTTTCACAAACACATTGCCTTTGAGCGAAGAACGAAAGAAGGAATGACAAACTACTATCGCTTCTTCTGCGGATTTCCTGACATAGTCATTTTTAGAAAGGTTAATTTGAACTTTCAAAAATGGGAGACGGCTATGTTTTGGTTTATTTCTGGTGGACTTCATGCCCATTCAACCACTTGGAACATTCGTCCATCTCCTTCTGTTTGGAGCAGATAACAGAACAATAATGGATATATCTGCAGTTTGCGAAATTTTAATTGAAATGATGGTGAGTTATTTGCAAAATTCCTAAAAGCAGGCATCTGCGGTGGTATCGAACTAGCAATTACCCTTTCCAGAGACCAACACCTTCGCCACCACAGCATTCGGGCCCTTCGTTAGCTTTCCTCTCTGCCGTGTTTTAACTTATAGGTCACTGAAGTTTTATTTTACATCATACGCTGCCATGAAAAACAATAGGCAGTAAATTAGAAGGTGACTGCAATGTGATTTATACTAGAGCTTCAGCTTAACAGGGTTCAACGCCGATTTGCACTTCGGCGTTGAACCCTGTTAAGCTCTAGGCGTCTGCACTAGATCAACACCGTTGCCGGATGATTACTGATGGCGCTGATCAATAGAAAACTAGTTGAGAGAAAAGCGAAACGAAGGACCAGCGGTGTGGTGGTGAACGCGCTAGGAAAGGGTAATAGTGCGTTCGCTCTCCACTGCATACGCCTGCGGTTTGGAGTTTTACAAATATCTCGGCATCATTGTAGCTATACTCCACATCATACGCTGCCATGGAAAAGCGCAGTAAATAAAAAGTGACTCCATTTTAAGAATGAGCAGCTAAAAAACTCTTTCAAAAAAGCACTAGGTTTTGAATGGATAAATGTACAAGGTTATTGCTACATCTCGCAACATAGGGAATGAGAAGTTGGCTTGTTGCCCTAAAATCGAACGACTCCATTACTTGCCTGCTATTTGAACTAGCATTAGGTGGATGACCAACCAATACCACTGAAATAGAATTTATTCTCGAAAGAAATGAAATAACTTGCACTTATTGCGTTATAGTTTTTCTTTGCGTTTGGAAAATAGTAGTGCCGGTAATGCGATGCGTGCACTAGCTTCACCCTAAAATCAAACATTCAAAGAAGTTCTGTTGTACAGTGTTGCACTAATCAACTTTTCGAAACTGCTTGGATGAGGTAGACTCTCCTGGTAAAAAGCTATCTCTTGCTTAAGTGTTTTTCTTTCATTTCTGGTCCAGATTTGCCTGAAGTGAGGTAATATACTCGCTGGTCTTCAATTAATTCCCAGTGCACTACATCTACAACATTCAAGTTGTTTCTTTTCTTCTCTACCAGTGCTGTTATGTTTTCTTCAATCTACGACTTTTAATCTGATATAAAGTCTCTTATTCATTTTCTGTTTGTGTCGAGAATGGAAGACACAATGAGCAGATCTGATTTTGCATCGAAAAGACGCCAAAGAAATATTAGTCTTGCTCTACATCTCTTTTTCAAAGGCTAAAAGGGAAGAGACTGAATTTTCCATCGTAGAGAGTTCAGTAAATATGAAAAATTGTTAAGTATGAGGAAACCGTTCTTCTTTCTCTTCTTCTGAACTTTCATTCCTTATTCAGGAACTAATGATGAATAACAATGGTTTTACTCGTTCATAGCTGCGGCTGATAAACGCAACGGTTCATTATGATGTTATATTGTTGTGTGGTGACCGTTGCATGTTGTGATAAACAGGCGAAGCGCAATCGGAATGATGATGGTTATTGTTTTGGCGATAAACCTCAAGGACATTCTTGTCAGCCTAATCAGCCATGTGTTAGTTCAGTCAAAGAGACGACGATATGGTCTCACTGATCTCGGCTTCTAAAAGGCTGAGCGCACCTGCCAAACGTTATCTTGCACTATCACCATAGCTTTTCGAGAATTAATATCAATTTTGTTTCACCTAGCTTATAGTGATAAGGGAAAGAGTTTTGTTAAGAAAGTATAGCATAAGTATTTAGCTATTTATGTGTGTGTAAGTCAATAACTTTATGATAATGCTGTAACCAATTTCGACGAGTATTGAAAACCTTTATTAGGCTATGTTTTTTGCATATGTATCTAAAAGGATAAATAAAGGATAAAGCTCCGAGTTGATCAATGCCTGAGGGATGCGCCATGCATTTAGATTCATTACGCATTGATTGGAGATGATCAAAGGCATATCTGGATTTTACAATGACTCGCGGTGGCCTACCGAGGTATCGAGCCAGTGCTGTTATCCTCTGAGACAAGTCTGGTATCAATTTGCCGACCCCAAAGGGGTGGAAGGCTTGGTGAGCCACGGCTGCGGCAATTGTTCCCATGTGAGCAATGGGGCGTCTTCGACCACTACGCCACATGCGCCCTTCCATATATGCATCTATATGTATATATTTATATGTATACATGTATACAAGCATCATTTTTAGCTTAGCAATTTACCATGAACCGACAATGTTCCCTGTTGCCACATGTTTAAAAAACCAAAACGAAGTACTGCAGAACGAAGTTAACCCGTTAAACATTTTCAGTCACTCATTCTACACCACCACAGAAAATGCACCAGATTTTTTCAGTTCACTCACATTGCTTTTGCTGGAAGTTCATCATTAAGAGTAAATGAGCCCACCAACAAAAACTAGGTTAAATGAGCTAGATAGAAATCTCTTGGCAGTAATATAACTTCAATGATGCTGGGATAGTGCGTTCGTTCCCCACCGCAGACCTCTGCGGTCTGGAGTTTTGCAAATACCTTAGCATCACCGAAGTTATATTCAGTAAAAGAGGTAGAAAGTAAATAATAAATTAGAATTGCTTCTAATAGTATCAAACAGTTCGATCACACTTCCAATCGACAGGCGACTGTTTTTTTTATGAGGAATTGATAACGCCAAGATAAGTAGTTTCGTGACAACAGGGAAAAAATTCACCCTAGCGGCAAAGTATCGGAAAAATCCGAAATGCGTTGTAGTTTACACATATTGAAGGAAAAATGCAAAATCGTTTATATATAAATAAGGAATTAAAAAGTTTATGCTAAACTGAGAGGAAAGGCTGAGTAAAGTGGTTAGTGATGACGTTGACCAGGAGGCAAAGCCGCTAGTTCGACCCCTCCCCTCCAGTCAGAGTGGGAACGCCTTAGCACGGCTATCTTCAACACTGCAAGAAGAATCAACTCGATCGACGTTCTGCGACTTTCATAAAGAAGACGAAATCCGCAACTAGCAACCGAACCAACTCGATGGATGTTCGAAGACCGTTGTGGACGATGAATGCGAGGAAAACGCATAAAATCCAAGTGGAAGGAACAGTGCGGTAAACTTGATGATGGGTCATCTAAAGAAAAAAAGTGGGAAAGAGCTTTTAAAATGACAAACACTACCATTGTTTCTACATCATTGCAGTAGAACATGTTAGCCATGTAATTTGTCGTGATGGCTCCTCAAAATTCACAAATGTGTATAAATCAGAGAATCTAAGCTATTTTCTCTCGTTTATTTAGTTAGAGTCAATGTGCATACATCATCAATCATGCAACGAAACGTTAGGGCACGCCTCTGCAAAGTGAAGTCATATAAAAGAAGGCGGTGTTACGCCAGTCCTTCACTCGCTCATTAACGACGCTTCAGTTGATATGTGTGGAATATTTGCCATTTTTCATCGTGGATGTAATTTGCGGTTTGACGTCCTGAAAGCTCGGGAACTTTCTAAGTAGGTAGTTGCACCAATTTCCTCGTATTACTGATTGAGCTCGCAATTCATGCCACACTTCTTTAAAGGAGGCAGGCTTATCGAGGACCGGACTTCAGCGGTTTCTATTGCGATGAATCCACAGGTGACATTTTATGCCATGAACGTCTTGCAATCGTTGACCTCTCTATCACTCAGCCGATTATGGGTACAGGCGCCAGGCATCAGGTATACTATTCTTTTCATTACAAATACAATTGTATGTTGGTTAATCAGTTTGGCTATATTTAATTCATGTAAGCGTTCAATAAGTTTTCATTTGATTACAAGGTCGTATAGATCGTGTGAGGTGACGTCATGCTTTAAAGGTAATCCATAATGGAGAGATCTACAATCACGAAAGTCTAAGAAAAAATGAATTAAAGGGGATACCACTTCGCACAAAATGCGACTCCGAGGTCGGCATCTATTCCACGTGTTTTGCAAAGGATCTTTGTACTGTGATTTTTAAAAAATAGGTGATCATTTTTCTCTATGAGAAGTTTCGAGAGGGCTCGATGTGCAATCTTCTCGATGGTGTTTTCGCATTCGCACTTTGCTTTGATGGTGAATTCCTGGCAGCAAGAGATCCTATCGGTGTGAAGCAAATGTACTATGGCATCGACAAGCACGGCCGATACTTTTTCAGGTTAGTAACATGCAACAATAACTCAACAGGTTCGTTCACCCGCTTTAGAGTTCGAGCACAAAGGGCTCCAAGTCATCCATTATTATTGTACTTTATTAATTTAGTCAGTTATACTAACGTTTATTGGCAACCAACTGCAAAAAATGCATAGAACGGAGAAAGCTGAGTTATATACAACCGTTGGAACCTAAATTCAGTAGGGTGATGCTGATGAATATTTTGGTCTTGACACAATTTACAACTTCGCGATGCACTTCCTGTTTCCATAAAACTTACTCATATCAGTCATCTTTAAAGAAGGAAAGCGTCGTAATTTTCGTATCTGTCCAGCTGTTCAATGGGCTCTTAGTACAGCGGTAGTCGTGGTGGTCATAACAAGAAAGGCCCAATCAACCCATCAACTGGTTTGACTCCTTTAGGGGCCTGCGTTACGAGTTCAGGAAATTGGGATCAGATCTGTCTGGGGCCTCTATCTTCAATCCACAACGGAGCACCAGCATTTAACGAAATTTATGAAGACAAGAATCCTCAAGCAGCAGCTGTACCTCAACGCAGACTTCGATCACCTAAGTGATGGATGTGATCTAGCGACTCGAATGAAAAAAGTATTGATATCCTTACAACATGTGATGTCGATTCGTGAAAAAAGCTTTAGCGATTAATATTGTGAACAGATATGATACTCAGTTATTTCATCATTTCGAAAATTCGTGAAAACAGCCACCATGTCTTTTCTCTTTTCATCCAAATGATGCGACTGATCGTGTCACAGTCAGTCAATATTGGGATCAAATTCGCAAATACCCTAGCTAGGCTGCGAAGAACATCATGTATGAACCTTTCTGTTGGTCATCGTATTCTTGCACTATTGATGAAACAATGACTCTGCACGTCTATATGCCCGTTCTACAACTTATGAAAAGGGCGAAATCAGCCGAAGTATCGACCATATCTGGTTGTGTATGTCGTAAAAACCTACATGTCTGCTCATCAAAAGCATTTGAACCGGTGTGTAGAAGAATCGTTACCATATCCCCTAAGTAGTTAATTATCACATAGTCGCGGACCTTGTAAAACGGACAATTTCGCAAATACTCTGTAGTGTCTTAATGTCGCAATATCAGTGGTCCCATTGAGAAAATAGACGCAGTGATCAACTGGAAATCAGCAAAAGTGGGAAAGAATTTGGCATTTACTTCACAGAGCTCACCTCAAAGTCATCCTGTTCCGCAAAACAATCATGGTTGTGGGTATTTTCATGCCAGAAATAGTAACATTGATTTTAGTGCATTTTTTCTTACCGTTTTCTTTACCGTACATGCCCTTCTAGTAACGTTTTGTGTTAAATCGGTAACTTTGCTATCATATGCTCTACCAAACAGCTACTTTCTGCGGAAGAAACTGTGCCAGTTCGCAAAGAACAGCATTAAGAAAGGGTTTGTTGAACTCCATAAGTTCTAGGAACATCTTCCCAAATACTGAACAGGTTAAGTGATGCTGAACCTGTTGTTGATGATTACGATATTAAGATGTTCGTACTCACTTGTACATCAACGTTCAAGAATCAGGAGCATTTTTCACCGATATCAGTTTGTAACACTCAGGAGGCATGTCTAATTGAAGTTAAAGATTACAAACGTGCGCTTAGCCTCACCAGTGGTGATTTATTGTAAAAGGGATAGGCGTTAGCAGAGTGCCCGCTAACATTTTCAACAACATCGAATCTTTGGTGTAAACACCATGAGATAACGCTAGATTTTTTTCAACTTTATCAACATATAAATCAATACGCATTGTCTGTTCTGCCCTGCCTCAAAGAATTTCTCACGTACCCTACTCATTAGCAGCAGTTCTTGTGTCAAATTTGTCATTAAGCGTAAAGTAATAGCTGCTGGACTCACTTTTTGTATTTTTGTAAGCACGACATCTTAGTACGTAACTCATCTATGGTGCTCTCGTTGGTGAGGATATCTTTACACCTCCTCACCAACAAAGTATTTACGACTCGGCAACACGAGTTACGTATAAGAAACTTTTATTCGGCAGGTGCTTCGGCGCGGAATTGACCCGAGATGGTCCACACTCGGTTGTTGTCGCGATGTCGGTGTTCGTTGATGCATTAAGTCGAATCCAGTTAAGGGAGCAGTGCAGTTCCACATTCAGTAGTTCCCTTTCATAAAGGACGGTTGTTGATAGGGTACCGTGTGATATAATCTGCTTCTTAAGCGGGTAACATAACATCATGTAGCATTCAGCATTCCATAGCTGGCACATAACGTGACACTACCTGAAAAACCGGCTTTCATTAAACCTCAGCATAAACGAATAGTATTTTTTGTCTCAATAATAATACGCCCCTTACAAGTCGGAAATGTTTTCCTAGCACCTCTTATAATAACTCAAAAAACTGATTCACCATGAACCTCGTCGTAAGTAGTTGATATATTTGTTTATATGATCTTATAAAGTAAACTTTTTGAGCTGATGCGAGGTTGATATAGGTTTTCGTTTTCGTTGTCGTTGTTGTTGACGGTGCTGTTGGTCGATCGCTGACGTTTCGGCAATTTCACCTCCCTAAGAGCCTTGCTGTCACGAGTGGGACTCAGTATTTCTCTTTATATGATCGAGTTGACCCCAGATTGGTATAGATGAACTTGGTCGTGTAGAAAAATGTTGACGGTTACATCGTGGTTTAATGGAATTCGACTTTTAAGACATCTAAAAGGCATTATTTAAAATTAAATGTGTTAAACATCCTTGTTATTTCATTAATTTAGAACATTTTCTTGGAATATCTATACAAAACATCTATAGTCTCGAATCTGTCGAATGAGAAAAAGTGAAGTAAAAAAAAAACTCTGGCGAACGGCAACAAAACTACCAAAAAGAAGATAGCGCTACGCATCAGCCTTTCTCCAAGCAAGTGCGCTATTGAGTATGCGTTTTGATCAGCTAGTTTAAGAACTCTGTATATCCTTTCCAAGTAGTTTTTTTTAAAACCTGCTATTGGAGCTGAAGACATTGTATTTTAAAAAATTGTCTATCCATCAAATAAATTTTCATAACATGCATTCACGACTTTCCCACCTTTCGCAGAGTACAATATTCGCAACTTGCCCCTTCTGTATACAATAGCGATAGGATTTTTTACACAGCCCAGCATCACGTGTTTTGTAGATCCCAGCACTTCCTTCAACAAATCTTTCTTTCCTGTTTTCCTTTCCGTTTCATCGCATTCATCATCCTCGACTATCTACGGATTTGTGAGTTGGATGGTCAGCTGCTATTTGGCTTTCTTTACGAAAGTCATTAGTCGACTTCAATATATTTAAAATCTTGGTGAAATCTGATACTGCGTTTCTAGGTCTTTACCATTGGCAATAATGGTGGTTCGGCCTCTTGCCTCTCTTGCTAGAGAGTCTGGTGCCAATTAGCTGCCCCCGGTGGAGTACGAGATTTGGCAAGCCCTGTGCGGAGTCAAACTAGAGTTTTGCGCGTGCCACTCTACTCGCACTCCTGAATTGGTGCAATCGAAATTGTTACTCTAATCTGTTCGGCATGATTTGCACTAGATCTGAAGTATTGATGTACTACTGATCTCTAGGGCGCTTGTAGAGCAGCGGTTGGAGGTGCCACTGCGACACACACTTGGAATCGATCTCCGCTCCCATAGCTCGCCAAGCCTTCCATCCCTTCGGGGTCGGCAAATTGGTACCAGACTTGCCCGGGAGGATAGCAGCACTGGTTCGATAAATCGGTACGCCACCACGAGTCATTGTAAAGGGCAGATATGCATTCAGTCACCTCCAACACGATACTTAATGAAGTCGAAGCATTGAACATCCCTCAGAGACTGATCAACGCCGAGAGCTTTATCCTTTACCCTTTACTGATCTCTAACAACGATAAGCACACCATTGCCATGTTTTGCCAATTGATTTTTTTACGTTATAACAAAATAGTGTAGGTGAAAGCGCTCTACTTACTGGAATCTCACTAGACCAGCCATGAATCTTGGACCCCATTACCAGAAGTTTCTTACCACTCTCACAGTGAATTCATCATACGTTTACCAAGCATATGACTAACTAGGTGCAGGAAGAACGGTATACGCCTTTGCTACGAAGACAGATAAAAGCGTGTTCCTCTTTCTAGTCTGTTTTAAAATACCACCGCTTCCGATAGATCAGCTGTTTGAGACATCCTTTTCTAACTTTTTGAATGTGCCGAACAGATAAGCGTTATCAGTTCAGAGATGTTTTCCTTCATACAGCATCTGCTTTAAGTGTTGACTGAACAATTTGAGCAATTCGAACCATTAGATGAATCAATCGGTTCGACTATGTTCGATGACTGTCCGTGGTGCTCGACTATAAGTACGCTTTTTATGTGGGATACTTACTCGATACTCGAACGGCCCGTCCTCACTAGTTGCGCGAGCTCCAGCATAATCACCATTTTTCGGAGATTTTCTGGTTAACCTGTTGTGGTTCTCTGGAATCTCGAGGTCAGCCTGGTCAAGGTCTGCCTCCAGGTTTTCACCACCACGGGCGGTCGCAGCCATTGTCGATCTGGGGTAGATTTGCCATTCCTGAGACAAATCTCCTTCCCCCACTGTACATCGCAGTCCGACACCTAGGAACACCCCACAGGCACGATAAGGCGGTAAACCGTTGGGTGGTTTATGTGGGATATGTTGTCGAAATTTAACATTTTCTTTAAACATTGAGGTGGACCCCTAAGCATAAGTATCTCTTTAAGCGGAACAGTGTAATCGTAATCCTAAGCATATTTAGTGGGCTTGTGTATTTGCTCGCAACTTTTGCTGACAGATTCTACAAGTAACCTTTTCAATCTATCTTGCAATACCCCTAATTTACAATAATGCCCATTACCTCGTTGAGACATGCTTTCCTGTGAGGCTTTCAAATCCAACGTTAAGTGGAATGCATCTAGAGTGGTAAGCTAGCACGAATTGTACCTTTCACTGAGGTAACTTCTAACAATCGCTCTCTTGTCTGTACCATTTCAGCCCATAAAACTCAATGCGATGTTCATCCGACGTCACACAAAGGGCAATCAGTAGCGTGGACTTCGCCAATGACAACCTTTTGGGAAGCATGATCTTCTCTGTAAAGATTCGCCAAAGCGGCTTAGAATAGCTTGACCTCGTTTCCATCATAGTCCGATGTTCAAACATAGATTCTCAAAGCTGGCTTTAGTCTCTCAGCTAGTTCTATTGATCGGCTCCATTAGCAATCACCCGTCAACGGAGCTGATCTATGGAGCCCAAATCGGCAACTAACCTAGTTAAGCTGAGGATGAAGTCGAAGTCACACTCTTAACCTTTTTATTTACTGCCTACTATAATTTTTAACGGCAGGGTATCGTGTGAAATACAACTAAGATGATGCTGAGATATTTGCAATACTCCGGACCGCGTTACTATCCCTTCCGAAGGCTAACGCGTTCACCACCACACCAAGCAGGTCCTTCGTTTCGTCTGTATCTTAGCTAGTTCTACTGATCGCTGATGGCGCCGATCAATAAAACTGGCTGGGAGACAGACGAAACGAAGGACCCACATGGTGTGGTGGTGAACGCGTTACTCCCCGGAAAGGACAATAGCGCGTTCCTTCCCCACCGCAGACACCTGCAGTCCGGAGTTGGCATCATCTTAATTGTACTTCACATGATACACTGCCGTTAAAAATTATAGTAGGCAATAAATAAAAAAGTTTAAAAAAGCTGGCTTTAGTTTCATTTTCTTTTAGAATCATAATGGGCCGACTCGGATAGGAAGTTGTGTGAAGAGATCGATGTTCATGGAGATATTCATGTTGGTTGGGACATTAATTTCACAGCTTTTCTGCTATCATATGCCTTGAGGAGCAGTATTTAAGTACATGTCACAGCCTTCCAAGTTTAAGCAACCCGGAATTAGCATGTGATTTTAGTAGACTCGGCACACTTCTACTACTCGCAACCCTACCCATTGGGAACTGCTTTCGAACCAAGGAGCTATGGTCCTATATTTTTTCTCGGCGCTTGGCATTTAGTACCTACGAAAAGCTTGCTAGACACTGGCCTAAAAGGTTTATTTACTCACAACTGGTTCGGTAGCTTTTTCGAGAAGAGAAAGTTTATTTGAAAATGGCTTTTAACGATGTACTACGTGCTTCTCACTCACGTTGTTTGCCGGCCTTTCCTCGAATTATTGTGCAGAATGGAATCCGCATTTAGGAAGTACATCCACAAGCGAATTTACTGACAAATACGTTCACGTGAGTACAGAAGGTGCAGTTCAATCCGGCACATGTGAAACTGCGTTAATCCGGCAGAGATCCTTATTGTTAGAGACCAGGGATTAGTTGTGAACAAATCGTGCCGAAGCATTCATTCTGGGATACCTCACCGAAACTTTACGACCACACCAGATTGGTTGTTATTGAAGAAAAAGGTGTATTGGAGCTTTTACTAACTATCCACTATCGGTCGACTTGACCATTATCATTTTCGTCCACATCCTCTGACTCACTTTAATAGGGCATTTCAACAAGGGGGAAAAGAAAATTCTCATTGTTTTCGAGGCAATTCATTCTCATTTCAGTCACTTCTTGTTCCTTCTCAATGTAGTCACAGGGAGTCGTTGAGTATATTTTTCATCCAAGATTATGTCAAAATGCAAGCACTTCTAAGTGCACCTCTTCAAACAGTTCAAATCGAGTCGTACCTTTTGTTGAGCATTTACCTTAGGTGGATAACTATGGCTACGACCTGCTATTATGTGATTAAGATGACAAAATGGTGATTTGTTTACGATGAGAAACGGGGCTAGATTTACTTAACTTTAACAAAGCGTTCTCCGTTAGTGCCCAGAAAATTAGTTTTACATTTTCAGAAAGGTCAAGGTTCGCTTTGATGTCGACCGTACGGCCGCCGCAACCATAATTTTCTCTGAAAGGCAAAAGGAAGTATTGATAGTACTGGTCCGAACACCTGAATAATACTCGCCTTTCATTTGAATTTGTTAAATTAAGGATGTTTCTCTATGTGACTACATATAATCATTAGAAGTTATTGAAGGTGCAATCATGTTAGTAAAGTCTGGTTCTTCAACAGATATGTTTTCTACAGTTCATATTTTTTTAGGAATTTAAAAGAAATTAGTGGCTCAAGCTTCAGTAAATTTCTTTTTTCCCTTAACGTCCAACAGTCTCAGTCAAAAAGTGAACTTATGTTTTGTAGACGAGGAAGTAAGGAACAAAATTTTACCCGAACGTTTATCTTCGTAGAAAAAAACCGAGTAAGAACTCAAACTTAGTTGAAGTAAATCTCAGCCTAAACTTGTAAGGGTGAATTATTTTAACTGCATTTTCTCATTCTCTAAGTGGTAGTGGTTTTTAGCAATGAGATGAAAACGTTCGAGGATATATGTGGATCGAACGTACTATCGATATTTCCCCCAGGCCATTTCTTCCAGCATGATAAAGGTTTCGTCAGGTATTACCAGGTATGCGCAGAATTGATCAACGCTGAGAGCTTTATCCTTTTCTTTGTACATCCTGAACTCACTGGTTTCTCTTCGTACTTTTGTTGAGGCAAACGCGAGGTGTCATTATTCTTCATTCACGACTGTATTCAAACTCATCTATTTATAAATATGTGTATATTATGTGCGTGTATATATATATATATATATATATATATATGCATCGGTGGTTGCTGACGGATTGAAAAAAAAAAGCAAAACGAAAACCCACACAATGTGGTGGTGAACGCGTTAGCCCCCGGAAAGGGTAATAGCTCGTTCGTTTTCCACCGCAGATACCTGCGCTCCGGTGTTTTGTAAATATCTTAACATCATCTTGGTTGCATCTCACGTGATATCCTGCCGTGAAAAATTATAGATGGCAGTAAATAAAAAGGCTAAGATTATATGTGTACATATATATGCATATATATATATATATATATATACATTCGAAGAATTCTAATTCATGTGTCCATATTGCAGCCGCTGTGGATTGATCACCGTCTGGCTACACACAAACAGGATTTAAAATTAATTCACGACACCCTTGTCGCAGCTGTCATCAAACGGCTGATGTCTGATGCACCGCTTGGAATTCTTCTATCAGGAGGACTTGACTCAAGTCTAGTCAGGTGGAGTTGAATTATGAACTCAATTAAATATAAGCAATTTTTTGCTTCTCAGTTCTATAGCAGCTCGCGAAATGAAAAGACATGGGCTTGTGGTTCACTCATTTTCCATTGGAGTCGATCACAATTCTCCTGATATCGTCGCTGCTAGGAAGGTAGCAAAACATATCGGGACGGTTCACCACGAGTTCTATTTCAGTGTTCAGGTTTGGGATCAGTGTAATGCAAAAGTAGTTATTCTGATAGTTGATCGTGTTCGTTCCGCGGAGCAAGAACCGAGTTTTCAAGATGTGCTGCAATTCAGGAAGGACTGAAAAATCTCCGTAATTTGATATGGCATCTTGAAACATATGATGTTACATCTATCCGTGCCTCAACTCCAATGTACTTTCTGTCCGAAAAAATACGGCAGATGGGAATTAAGGTGAAGGGTTCTGTGGTCAAAAGATATACGTATCGAAAAGAGCAAGTTCTGATTTCGATTTAGGTTGTGCTATCTGGTGAAGGAGCCGATGAAATTTTTGGTGGATATCTTTATTTCCATAACGCTCCTAGTGATGAAGAATTTCAAAAGGTTAGCTAACAGTGTTCGAAATTGATATCATCTTCGAGACAAAGTGTCACATGTATGATTCATGATTAGGAAACCATCGACCGTGTTGTTCACCTGTATACTGCAGACTGTCTTCGAGCCGACAAATCCACAATGGCTCATTCCGTTGAAGTGCGTGTACCATTCCTTGACAAAGTGAGGTGTTCTTAATAAACGCAAATTGGTATAATTTCGTACATTAGATGACATATTTTTCTCAGGAGTTTCTCAATGTGGCCATGTTGACCGCACCACAATATAAACGCCCTCAGCTTGCCAATGGACGAAATATCGAGAAATATATGCTGAGAAAAGCGTTCGATGAAGACGTACGTTGGAGTTTAAAAAAGATTGCATGTGGTTCCCAATAAAGGAAACATCTGCTTTGAGAAGTGTATTGTAGACCTATCTGCCGCAAGAAATTCTTTGGAGGCAAAAAGAGCAGTTCTCGGATGGTGTAGGTTATTCGTGGATTGACCAACTAATGGAATTCTGTGCTGAACAAGTGCTGGACGAAGAGGTAAGATCAAACCGTAGACGAAAAGGGAAAAAATCTTAGGTGTGAATGAATACTTTCGCATAGGAATAGTTATTTCAGTTTTCTAAAGCGGAGCAATTATTTCCCCACAACACACCTCACAGCAAAGAAGCTTTTTACATGAGGAGCCTCTTCCATGACATGTTCCCTAGTGAAAACGCTGCGAAGACAGTTAGAAAATGGATTCCAAAGTGGCAAGCTAACCAAGATCCATCAGGTCTTAAATACTATTATAAATGTCAGTTCCTTGAATTATTATCGCAAATCACTATTTCGTAGGCCGAGTTTCTCATGTGCACGAGCAAGGTGTGCGGAAAAACGAGGAGAAGATGAAGCCACTGGACATGGTTCGTGAGATCGAATGGATGACTTATCACGCCTAATTCTTTCCTTTCCTCCACAAAATTTCAAAGTTTTCATTGTATATAACAGGGGTGGACTGATGCATTCCTGTAATTAAAAGTGCTTACTATGTGACATTTCGATATCATCGTGGTCCAGGAGCAGTTTACACCTACATGTAAACTTCAGGATTTGCTCAGAAATATCGTTGCTATATCTCTAAATTGAATGCAACAGTGTTATGTTTCATTTACATTAAATTCTGCTCTCCTATCTACTTTGTTATTTCACACAGATTAAAACTTTTGATATGCCCAATATTAACTTCAATACGTTTTTACCCTAAATAAGCCTGCTATTCTGATGGGAGGGGCACATTACGATTCCATGTGAACTCTGTACGGTTGGTCTCCATGTGACATATTCATTGGAAGACTTAAGGAAGCGGTAAGTGTGCGAAGAAGCTATTCTGTGTGTTCAGTGTGATTGAAATCATGGTTTAGTATTTTCTCCGCTTGGTTGTGGAGGTTTGGCTGGGCAGATTGCCCTCAACTTGGCCTTTCCAAGCTCTGAGGATGGCGAAATCCGCCGAAACGTTAGCACGTCCGTAAATAAAGAAATAAAATACTAAATGAGAAATTCCGAAGAAGGAAGTATTTTTAAAACTGTTCATTAAGTACCAGAACCCTTATGGGTAAACTTATTAAACTGCTAGGAACCGTTAACAAAGGTTGAAGGGAACACCAAACGAAGTGTAAGGCATGTTGTTTATCGCATGAGAAGCAACAAGTCTAAGTTTACACATTCGCGACGCAGTGACCTTTATAGAGCTCATAGGTAAGGCTACAATGCGGCCGGTATAACAGCCATAGCGGTCGACTTGTTTTTGAGGAATTATTTTGGTGCGTAAAGCCTGTTTCCTGTAATGAACCTTATGCTTTATCCAACACAGGTTAATGGTGGGCGTCGGTCGGGGAAAGCACTATTTTGCACTCGAGTATATACAAACAGTGTTTTCTCGAACAAGTTCATGGACCGGTAATTTGACTGACAATTGACTAATTCTTTCTACTTCTGCTCAGCGAACGCCTGGAAAGGTCAAATTGACAGCAATCTATTCGGCCAAACGCCTCCATAACCAAACAGGGAGAAAACGGTAAACCAAGATTTCAATCACGTTGAACGCAGAATAAATTCTTTGCACACTCACCGCTTTCTACGAGTCTTCCAATGAGTACGTCGCGTGGAGAACAACCGCACAGAATTCACATGGAAGCGTAATGTGTCCCTCCCATCAGAATAACAGGTTTGTATACTGTCCAATATCACACGTGATAATGGGGCATTCTTCCCTGCGGCTCATTTTGAGATTTTTGGAATTAATCCAGAACGCCTCTAGAGTTTTGCGCGCTTGTGTTCTCGATTCTTGTGCGAGGATCGTGACACGTAGTTCAAAGTCCTCCCCGTTATGTCTCTGGATCCTATGCGTGCCTAGTGGGGTATTTAGCTGCCGTTTGCCGGCTAGGTGTTCGTTTATGCGGACACAGAGAGGTCGACCCGTTTCGCCAATGTATTCGTTTCCTCACGCCTTCAGATAAATTATATTGAGATCAGATAAATTGTACCCGAGCTCATGCAGTCACCATCTCTACGATAAGGGCAAATTATGAAATTTTGCGTTGCACATAAACGGCCAAATAGGCGGCCACGAACTGGCTGGCGCCTAAGAGTACTCGATGGCATTTCAACTACATTTACCGAATTCTCTAGACCCGCCCTTCTTAAACAGCGTTTTATAGCTGCACTTGAACCATTTGAGATGAAAGGTAAGATAAACAGAACCCCTTCTATCGCTAGAGTTGTCGGTCGGGGGACTTGGATTTCTCCTACACCTAACCCGAGCTACAGTCTCGTAGCCATTAGAAATGGTTATTTGCCGTGCCCAGTTCCGGGACTCCTCTCTCTGCTCTCTTCCCGTGCACACGTTGGTTGCTGTTCGAAACATGTTTCTTACAAGCGCCCTTTTCGTGTAAGAAGGGTGAGAGGAGAGGTAATGAACCAAGCTGTTTTTACTACTTGGCTTTCGGTACCACTTCGTAATGTAGCCGTTTTCGGATAGGTTAATTTGGATATTCAAGAATAGAAACCGGTTTTCTTTCGTTTTCCCTCAGGTGGACTCGTTATACTCTGACTGTTTATTCAACAACTCGAAACACTTGTCCATTTCCTCTTGTGTTGAGCAATGGACAAAACAGTCATCTATATATCTACAGTACAGTAGCGGCCCGAGATCGGTCACCGGTGCTTCCACCTTAGACATAAACGCAATGATAAGACTTGGTGGCAGTCGTTGTCTCATTGCCAACCCTCTTATTTGAGCGTAGTACTTTCCGGACGATCTGAAGATCGAGCAGCTTATTCATTCTTTTAAGAGTGCCATTGAGTGCTCTATCTTAAAGCCATACATGTTTATTTTTTCTTTTTGTTGCATAAGGAGTTCGAATATGGCCTGCATTGCGGAGTTATTCGACACGTTTGTACAAAGGGCGGTAACGTTGAAGGATTCCATCACCCACGCGCTGCTGGGCTGCGCAGTACGTAAACGATCCAGAAACATCTGGGTATTCGTAAGATGGGCTGGAATGTGTTTCAACAACTGCTTAAACATTAGGGTTAAAAACCATGTTATCCTATCCGTTGGCCCGTCTACGAAGCTAATAATAGGTCTAATCTTAAATAGTGATGGATCGGTAGACGCAAGATCATCGCTGGATACTAACTTATGAGTTTTTATAAGCAAGTACAAGACGAGATATGTTGGTAAGCCAGCTTTTAGCTCAGAGATAACTAATGGTTTTAAACCAACATCCCTTGCCATTTTGACCCACTCGTTGTTCAATTTTTGGTATTTACTTTTAAACTCCTTCTCAGATGATGGGCGATAAAGTGAAGCACCCTCAAGATGCTTTTTCGTTATCTCATCAACTAATTGATGGGAAATTACGACAGACTTTTCACCCTTATTTAATATTTAATACAACAATTAATTATAGTTATCGTGCTAAGTGATATAAAAATATAAAAATAAACACTTCTTCGCTTGCAAAACAACTCAAAATTCTGGAATACATGTTTACGTGATGGACCACAGCAAATGTGGCAAGCTGAAGCAAATAGGCCATTCATAGCGATAGAGCGATAGCTGAAAACCTCTCCTATAATTTTTTCATTTTCTGAACTCCTCAAGTATTTTGTTTATCGAAAAGCAGCGCCTGCTGTCGTAAAACCAGCATTTCCATAACGGTTGAAAACTAAGCATGATCGCTAAACGCCGCGAGTTGCAATTGAAGAACCACTCGGGCGAACGCCGATGATTACGGGATTGCTGAAAAAGGGGTGAACTCGTGGCAGTGCTAATTTTTTCTACAATAAACGGTAATTTTTTGATGGCTCTAGGACTTATGGAGTTGTGAACATCACAGATTTGTAAAAGAGCCTTTTTTAGTTTATATATTTATAAAAGAGCCTATAAAAGCGATGGTAATGCGAGCATTTAAGCAGTATAAAGGTTTCATATGCTTTACATCGCTTGCCATGCTTACACATCGATTCAGAACATTATTTTAGCAGGCCAAAGTCATACCGGGCGGTACTGTGGAAGAAGCGAGTACTGACAACAGCACATTTTACCTCCAGAGAAGCCATGAGGCATAGCTTACCACAGGGCTACGGATATCGATGTCCACAGTAGATACTTCTCACAGGCTGAAGCTTTGTTAATATTTTAATAAGAGATTTTAAATAAAAACAGATAAAAACAAGAATTTGAAAATAAAGCGATATTTCAATCGTGAACGTTAGCCGAAAATAAATATAATTAACAACCTCGTGTAAGCTCATCAAAGAAAGAAGACATATAAAGCGATATAGTTGAACTAAAATACAATGAAATTTTGTATTCACCATTCTGACGTCTAATTCAATTTATCATACGACCAACCCCATACTAAATGTATAAGAACGTTAACGAACGATAAAGCTTCAAAAGGAAAGCTTTGCAGCAAACTACCTTCTATTTTACCGAGGCAGGAATACCTAAATTAATGACCAAAAACCACTTTTTGGAGAAATATACAGTAACTGTGCATTTAAATTCATATCAGAACTAATTTTTCGCAAGTTTCTTCTGCTCAAGAGAATAAGTCCTACGAGAAGGATATGATGGTGCGATTCTATGAACACATTGGGACTACAGCGATACCAGCAGACAATCGTTTGATTGGCAGTGGTATTTTCATATTCATTATGATGCTCTCTACTGAAGATACTCAACAGCGACTGTTGAATCTCTTAGAAGGATGAACTCCTGCTCTTTACTACGGTTTTAGAGTCGGAATTACCTCTGACTAAAATGAGATAGCAGAATCTGAGGCTGTCGAAGTGCCAAGATATTCACCTCCATCAAAGAATGTTTGTGAAAGCGAAGGCAGAATTTCCTGGAAAAAAAATTTGTAGAAAATATTGCATTTGAACCTAATTGATGCTGCAGGTCCCGTATTCAAAAAACTTGCGATATACGTCACAATGGAATTCCTTTGAGGTTTTTAATAAGCCACATCAAGTAAATTCCTTAAACTGTATTTTCAAGAGAAACGATGAATTATACAAAGTATTAATACTCTTCCCTCTTGCCCGGTCTCTGATTAGAAAGGTGGCCCTTGCGTGGAGCTACAAAAAATTTTCAACATCCGTTAACAAAGAAATAAATTAACTATAAATACTAAGTCAAAGTAAAAATTAAAGATAACCGTGATATAGAAAAACTTTACATGTCCAGCCGTGTACTACCGCACTATAAAAGCCCATGAAATTTTTTTGCCACAATACCAGCTCTGATTACTATACTGTAGTCGTCAAGCAGTTCGGAATATAAAGGCCTCTTAAGATGAGAGAAATAGAAAAGCTAAAAATTTTTTACTAAAGACTAGATTAGACAGATGTCTATTTCTATTTAGGAGGAAAGCGTACCAGCCGCTGGCGA